GGTTGGATGTTTTTTCAAGTGTTCTCTCCAGCCTTTCAATTCTGCTTGAATGCATAATGGGCCTTATCCTCCTTTTAAAAGTACAGCTTGTCTGATAATATTTCATATAGAGGGTGGGGAGTTTGGATCACTGGCTGGTGTTATGAGACAAATGAATTGAAGAGCACTTCAAAGAATGGAGTTGCAGTGTGTGTGTATATAAAAAAATTATTCATGACAGACTCTGATTCAGGAATTCCTGCTGCTGTCACTACACGGAAGCAGACTCCCACTCATCTCTTTGATTAAACATAACCACTCCTATCTGAAGGCTTGCTATGCTTCCTTTTACTTTTCCTCAATTACGAAGAGCCTGGTGTGTTCAGAGGCATCATAAAGGCCTCCCAGTCCCGTCACTTGGCAGTAACTGCCAATTTCGTTTCCTTGTGCTATTCTTCTTACTAAAATCTTCCGCACATCATGGTCAGGTGGAGAGGCAGAACTGAGTAGCCCCAATGAGTGGATGAGATGATGGAAGGTGTGGTTTTAAAGGACAGCACAAAATTAGAGGGTGGAATGTAGAGAATGAGTGGAATGTGGTTATCTCTGAGTGTAAATTCTATAAGAAGGACTGGGAGGGATGTACTAGATGCAGTATTACTCAGCAAGTGAATGAGAACATAGAACCAAACAAGCCTGTAATTCCGAATGAGACAGGCAGACTCCTCCACAGAATCATTCTGGGCTCCAAAAGTAATTTAGTACTGGGGACATACTATCCCCAGCTCTCCTGAACAAAATGCCTTGGGTGATCTTAAGGTAGAGTAGGGGGGGGGGAGCGGCATCCAAAGGAGAGCATCTTGTGGCAAACGGTAGCTTCAATTACCCTCATATTGACTGGGTAAATATTCTGGTCACTACAAAAGGGTGACATTTCTAGATGCCCTAAAATGACTGTGCCCAAGAACAGTTGGTCATGGAACCAATCCAAGGGGAGATGGACTTGAGCTCAATCCTAAGAAGGCACCTCAGTTGTGTGTGAGATGTATATGTGAACCAAATGATGTCCAGTTCTGGGCACCACAGTTTAAGAAGGGTATTGACAAGTTGGAGCGTGTGCAGAGGAGGGGGACCATGATGATCAAGAGTCAGAACACCAAGCTTTATGAGGGAGTTGGGTATGTTTAGCCTGGATAAGAGGAGAGAAGATATGATAGCCATCTTCAGATATTTAAAGAGCTGTCACATGGAAGATGGAGCAACCAATAGATTCAAGTTAAAAGGAGAGAGATGCCGATGGAACATCATATAAAAATTTCTGGCAGTAAGAGCTGTTTGACTACCTTGGAAGGTGATGGAATCCCCTTCACTGGAGGTTTTAAAACAGAGGCTGGATGGCCATCTGTCAGAGATTCTTTAGCTTGGATTCCTGCATTGCAGGCAGTTGGACTAGTTGACACTTGGGGTCCCTTCCAAGTTTACAATTCCATGATTCTATGACAAAAAAGTCAGAGCATTCTGAATTAAGCTGAACACAGGACACATTGATTTTCCTTGCTCCATAAAAGGAATGAGGCCACCACCTACCCCGCCCCTTGTAGGGTATTCCGTTAAAGGAATCCGGTGGTCGTGGATCCTGTCCAATGCCCTGCCGGTGGCTAGGGCCATGGCACAACCCCTGGTGACATCAGGGGAAGCTTCCAGTTGTATTTGCATCAACAAGCTCCTCCCACTGTTTGTTAACCTTCAAAGACCCCGGCTGCACAGTTGAGGTCAAATATAGGTTGTTTGACCCAATGCCTAAGCCAATACCACTCACATGCTGTAACCAATAAAAGTTGTGGCCTACTTTAGCCTGTTAACCTAAAATACATGTGTCCTTGTGTCTTATTTTACCACTACGCAGGTGGGGGGTCCTTGACTCACAAAAGGAATGACCAAGAGCCTGCTTTAAGCCACTAATTTTTCCTTTGAAGCCCCACTCTTATCTGCCCCACCACACCTGACATCATGTTTGGTGTAAAGTGTGGGGTGGGTGGATGTAGCTTCTCAAAACAGCCTGGTGTGCCAAGTTTCAGTTGTTCCCATCCCTGATACTGAAGAACAAGACTTTGCTGAAGAGGAATCATAGCTGCAAAGGTAAGTCATAGCTAATAACCTTTTAAGAGTCCTTTAGCAATGTCATTAAGTATGTGGATAAGCTGATCAAGTAAATATTGTGTACTTAGATTTTCAGAAAGCTTTTGAAAAAGTCCGTCACCAAAGACACATAAGCTTAGCCGGCATGAGATAAGAAAACAAGGTCAGTAACCTGGTAAAGAATAGGCAGCATAGTAGGAAGAAACGGATAGTTCTAGCAATGCCGGGATGAATTGAATTGAATTTTTTATTATTACAGTCACAGACCAGTTCCAGCTCACTTACAATATCAGGAAAATCATAAAACACATTGAGGGATGTATTAAAGGGGTTTGCCAAAGATCTGCATTGGGACAAGCACTTTTTAACTGGTTCTCAAATGGCCTGGAGCTAGGAGTGAACAGTGTGGGGGCCAAGTTTGCTGATGATATCAAATTGTTCAGGGTGATTAAAACAAAAAGGAATCGTGAAAAGCTCCAAAAAAAAACCTCTCCCAGCCTGGTGAATGGGCATTAAAATGGAAAACATGATTCAATGTCAGCAAATTGAAAGGGATGCACTTTGGGGGTGAGGAATCCTAATCACATTTGCACTAATCAGGTCTGAATTGGTAGTGACTGACCGGGAAAGTCATCTTGGGATCACGGTGGATAGCTGGATGGAAATGTTGACTCAGTCTTTTGGATGCCACAAATAAGAAAGAGTATATGCTCTGTATCACATCATTAGTGATGGCTCTGTTGGATTCAGTTTTTCCCCCTCCTCTGGATTTTAATGTGTGCAGGGTCCATGTCAGATGTTTCATCTCCAAACAAAGAAGCCCCAACTACCCTCTAGGTAAACTTGGTTATGTGAGAGCAGTTAAGATGAGGGAATCTTTTCTGATTCCAGGGATTCTTTTATGACATCACAGATGGTTCTTTCTACCAACTACCATCACTTGGATTCCAGCCACCACATTTCAGCTCCCAGTAAATGAGCAATCTATTTCTGAATGATGACTCAACCTGCCCCTTTTCTGGGCATGGGATGGACACAAGGGGGTGGGGTAGAAATCCTAAGCTCAACTTACCATCGATGGCCTGCATGTGCAAATGGACTGTCACACATCAAACACTACAGAAGGAGCTGCTCTCTCCCACACACAATGGTTTCCATGAAGGAAACTCACATGTTCATCTGAAAGTTGTCAAGCCCAGTAAACACATGTATATGTAAATAGGCCTGTCATCAACCAGTGAAGAAATGTCCTGGGAAAATAAGATCATATCCTCACTTTTCATTTAAAGCACAATATCACTTTCTCAGTTATGGCTTCTCCCAAAGCATCCTGGGAACTGTAGGTACTGAGAATTGTTAGGAGATTCCCCTTCCAGAACTACAGTTCCCTGAGTTCCCTGAAAATAATTATTGGCTGTTCAACCACTCTGAGAACTGCAACTCAGTGAGAAGAGGGATCTTCTAACGACTCTCAGCATCCTGGGTTCCTGGGATTCTTTGGGGGAAACCATGACTGCTAAAGTGGTATAACAGTATATTAAATGTATGGTGTGGTTGTGACCTAAGACAGATTGTTTTCTATCTCTAAGATTCCCAGGTGCTTTGAACAGCCCATGTCGTGTCCTACCTATGGTGACACATTGCCGAGACAAGCGAAAGGGCTTTCTCAGTGGCCACACCTAAATTGTGGCATACTTGCCCCATGAAGCTGAAGGAGTTTGTTGCCTTCTGCCAAATAGCAAATAGGCTTTTTATTATTATTCTGGCAGGCGTTTGCCTTGCTGTGCAGAATACTGCGTTCATCTGTTATGCCTCCCTTTATAGAATTTTGTTTGACGTGGTTGTTTTATTGCAAATTTAATTGTCGCAAGCCACCCTGAGTGATGTGTGTGCAATCAAAGGTGGGGTAAAATTCCTTCTGCTGAGGAAAAGAAAGGAAATGTTGCTTTCAGAGAAAACGAGGGCAGGCAAAGGATCAGTGCAGTCTGAGTCAGCTAATAAGGCCAGAAGTGCAGGAATCTGAAACGATGGGAAATAGAACCCAGCCAGTCTTTGGGATTTGGGCACTTCCTGACATTGGCTTTCCCCATCTGACTGCACTGCTTTGGCAGGTGTTTAACACTAACTGTGTGAATGGGGAATGTGATGTGTGGAAGTACCTCAAATCCACTAGCATGTACATTGGTTGTGAAATCCACTGTAGTGTAGTGGTTAGAGCATGAGGCTAGGAACTGGAAGGCCTGGGTTCAAATCCCCACTGAGCCACAAAGCTTACTGGGTGACCTTGGGCCAGTCACTCACTCTCAGTCTCTTACACCACAGGATTCTTGAGAGGATAAAACACAGGAGAGGAAAGATGCCACCCTGAGCTTCTTGAAGGAAAGGTGGGGTATAAATGATATAAACAGGTATTTTCAATTTAATTCCACAAGCCATATACATCTATGGAACAGAGAATTGATTGTCTCTGTAACAAAAAGCATTTTTGGGGGGCAGGGATAGTAGGCAACTAAGGTTGCAGTCTTATACTCACTTACCTGGAAATAAGCCCCAGTGAAATAAATTGTGCTTATATCTGAGTAGACGTGCATAGGATCCCACAGTCAAAGCTTCTTTTCACTAACAAATTAGAATGAGACTAAGGAGATAACTAGTTTAACTAATCCTACAGCCTCTTCTGCAAAGTCTGCAACACTCAGTCAGAAAAGAAAATCCATCAGAAACTTCCAAACCACCAGAGAACAAAAGAATGGAACCTGGAATTGCTTAAAGGTTTATTCAGAATTATTCTAGACATATTCAGCAGGAGGGAGGGGGAGGAGGAAGCATTTTTATTTGTGGACTTTAAATGCTAATCTGAAGTACTCTGCTTGATTGCATTTTCATATCTCAGAGAATCCTTGATGCTCTGTAATTATAATTATGGAAGAGACATGGAAAAAAATACATTATTAGTCCACCTCAATGCTGCCGCCCCTCACAGCTTTGTTTTTGACAGCTTTGCTGCTACCTTTACATATATATAATTAGCTCTTTTGCTGCTTAGGGAAGGGGGGGGGCAAAGCAGATCTTTCCATCTTGAAATGTCAGATTAAGATTATAACATCCATACATAATATCCAAACAGAATAGATGATAAGGCAATGCAAAATTAAATATTTCAGCCCAATTTTTTTAATCTGTACTACCTTACAACCACAGTTCTGTTTGTACAAACCTACGCAGCCCAATCTTATACTTTGTTACTCAGAAGTAAGTTCAGTTGAATTCAATATGACCTACATTCAAGTAACAGTGTATGGTTGCAGTCCTGCTGCCCTATCCTATGCCTGGTTCCCAAAATAAGTCCAACTGAGTTCATTGAGTCTTATTCCTAAGTAAGTTTTCTCAATAGACAAAACCTGCGTAACTAATCCTGCAGCAAACTCACCTTTAATTCTGATTAAAAACATCTTTACTCTTTCAACAAATAAGCAAGGTTTCTAGTTTTGTCAGGACACAGGATGAAATGTTTAAAATACAATGATATAGCAGAGATAATGGGATGTCAGCATGTAGCATAATATGGGCTAGTGATTCGGACGAGATGGTTATTCACCTTTCATAATCAAGCACGCCCAACCATTTACAGAGGTGCTGTATAAAGGAACACTGAGATTTTGATATATATATTCTTTATGATTTCACTTTTTTTTGCAATTGGAAAGAGTAAATGTTAAAACCTGCATTACAGAAGGGGGAAACACACTTGCTAAATAAATGTATTGTAAAAACCCAACAGCTCAGAATGAAAGTGTAAAGATTTGGTGGCCAAATTTCTAATACCAAAATGATGGATGTTTGTCAGTGTGAGTACTGTAGAGTTGCCATTCAAATGACAGTTGTAATAATGGTCATTTAGTATAACCCAACAAATGGGAGTAAATTATTGTGACTTGATAAAAAATGCATACCTTTGTACATTACAAACACCTGGACTTTATTTTGTTTCTTCAGTTTGGATAGTAAGAGCTTCCACATAAAAGCATCTTCAAGAGTGATACTCTCAGTTTCTTCTGAGCTACATATCATTCTTTGTTCCAGAATGACAATATTCCCATAACTGCTATTTTCCCCTTCTAAGACTCATTACATATTAACTTATGATTATTGCTACTATTTTCTTACCTTGATGTGCCTATGATCAGAGACTCATTGCTTTCAAAACTTACACTATGCAAAAGAATTTAGGGATCACAGGTTTACATGATCCCTCAGGCAAAATATATATCACATCATCAAAAGCAACTTAACAGAAGATCTAACATTAAGGCTTCAATTGGGTACCTAACTTTTGAGTAAACCTGCACAGGATTGCACTGTTAGCTAGCATGAAGAACAAACCAGCATATCTTTACTCATGAGTAAGTCCTGCTATGCTCAGTGTGTGAGGAGAGGAAGGATTACACCCTAGTAAATGTGTTTAGGATTGCACCCCTAATGCTGGAGATTTAGTGTGCTCTTAAGAAAATAACCCATCATACAAAACTGCAATAACAGAAACCCATTTCCCCCTGGTGTTATTATGCTAATACCATGGGGGAATGGGCTTATGTTGGGTTGCTGCTGCTTCTTTTCTTTTCATGAAACCTCCAACATTACGGCTGCAATCCTTAACATGCTCTGTGTGCTCTGCTGTCGCCCTGGATCTTTAACACTCACCCTCTTGGAAGAGGAAATGGTGTTGTCAGGGGAAAGGCGTTTGCTAGCTGGCTTGGATTCACTCAGTAAGCGATGCTTGAGTTGACGCCTCGCCTTTCCTCCCTGCCCAGTGAAGGCACAACCAAGATCCGTGTGACCAGAGATTTATTTAGGGGTGTGTGTCTGAGTGTGTGTTAAATAACAACATATGACAATCTGTGCCTAGTGCACCACCCCTCCCTCTTCGAAAGAAACAACAACCCATCTAAAGATGACCAGCAGCGATCGCACAACAACCGAGTGACTTTAGGAGAGGGGCGCGCACTCTGCCTGTCTCTCGTGCGCGTACCCGCCATCTCAACCCGCCCCGGTAGCCACTACCCTTTCCCTGAGCGCGCGCGCAGAGTTCCGCGGGGCTTGCTCGCGGCTCCCCTTCGGTCTGTTATCACTCACCTGCACAGGAGCTTCGTGCCTCATGGTTCAGCCGCGCGCCCTGTCCTTTCCCCTCGGCCGCTGGGGTCTCACAGGCAAGCGGGAGAAGCAGCAGCAGCAGCAGCAGTCGTGGCCAACCCCGTCTACACGCCACGCACACAGGCACAGAGAGACACACGCGCCCGGCGCGTCAGCAGCAGCAGCAACAACACGCTCGCCTCGCAGCCCAGCAGACAATTCAGCACCGCGGAGCTGTCCACCCGGCCTCCCCTGCCGCGCCTTGGCCCAGCGCCCCTCGCGGCGGCCGGTGGGAGCTGTAGTGCGAGCAGCCGCGCGTCCCAGGCCCGGGTCCAATGGAAAGCGGAGGGAGCCAGGACTACAAGTCCCAGGGACTCTCGCTTCCTCCGCCGCCGCCCGGAGCTCCACCCCCTCCCTCGAGGAGGCGGCTCCATGGAAACGGGGCGCGGGGGGGGGGGCAGCTCTGCGGCCGCGAGTTTGCGCGCTGTTGGGCGAAAGTTTCTGCGCTTTCTCTAGGCGATGCTAGGAGAACCCGGCGAAGGAAAATAGGCAAGAAATGCAATTCCCACCCCACAAACAGAGAGAGGAGAAAATGCAAAGCCCGCCTCGCCCATTTAAAGCCACCTTTCCCTTGTTTTAACTACTGCTTCTCAAAGAAAAGAGAAGCGGGCAGCTTCCAAGATGTTTGCCATATATTTTTTTTCCCCTGGTGTCGCGGTTGGAACTCATTTGCTAGGACGGCAGAGAGAGCGAGAGATCAGGCCGGTTGGGTGTTTTGCTTTGGACTCCATACTGGCGAATCCTTTTCGTTAGCGGCGGCGATGCTCGTCAGCTGCTTTCAAGGAAGTATTTGAAAAGAGGGGCGTGGAGGAGCCCACAGCGCTCTTACCTTGCCGTAGATTTCCATCGAGATCTCGCCCAGGCGACGTAGCACCAGCCGGAGAGACCCGTCCACACAGAGAGCGGGAGAGGGAGACCCTCGCGGGGGAAGCGACGGCCCCTGAGACGGCTGGTGGCGTCGGGAGGCCGGGCGGAGAGCGCGCTTGCTTTGCCTTCTTCCCCCGCCCCACCGCCCGGCAGGTGGAGGAAGCGTTATTAAGCGATGCCAAACGCGGAGCTGAGTTTCCTAGCAGCGCTATTAACACGAGCGCGCGATCCGCCTGAGCCTCCCTTTGGGCACTTTTGGAAATTTCGCATTAATTAACTCTGATCCAGAAGAACAGCAGGTGAAGGAGGCCGAGGGAGGAGTGGGGCGTGTGTGTGTGTAGCAGAAGCAACCAAGTTATATAAAATGCCTAGCAAAACAAAGCAGTGCAGCAGAGACGAGGCTGGAGAATTAATTAAGCCCGTCTCTGGCTGATCTGGTTGCAAAGCAGGCTTGGAAGTTAGTCTCGTGGGTGGGTGTTTCTGTGACCCGTTAGACAAGCGGTAGGAAGACTTCAGGCATTTGTATTCCTACATTGTAGGGGGTTGGACTAGATGACCCTTGGGGACCTTCCAACCATATGATTCTATTTTTCTATATTCCATGTTGGATACCTATCTAGACGCGGGTGGCACTGTGGGTTAAACCACAGAGCCTAGGACTTGCTGATCAGAAGGTTGGCGGTTCAAATCCCCGTGACGGGGTGAGCTCCCATTGCTCGGTCCCTGCTCCTGCCAACCTAGCCGTTCAAAAGCTTGTCAAAGTGCAAGTAGATAAATAGGTACCGCTCCGGCGGGAAGGTAAACGGTGTTTCCGTGCGCTGCTCTGGTTCACCAGAAGCGGCTTAGTCATGCTGGCCACATGACCCGGAAGCTGTATGCCGGCTCCCTCGGCCAATAAAGCGAGATGAGCGCCGCAACCCCAGAGTCGGTCACAACTGGACCTAATGGTCAGGGGTCCCTTTACCTTTACCTATCTAGACAGCTGGAGGGCTTATATTTCTTTATCTGGTTAACAAGAAGTATGCATTGATGGTTACTGTATCTGTAATAGGAACAGATATTTTTGTTGTTATTAGTATTATTTAGATATTTTTTATTTTTGTTTTATTGTCCCCATCATTTTTCTTCCACCTTCCTTTGATAAATTTGATAATAATGATAATAATGCACCTGTTTAGACTTGATTGACTGCAGATCCCTAGCATATGTCCTAGCGTATGTTCACTGTTTGTTGAAGGATGCTCACCTGCCACTCACTCTTTGTATGCTGAAGGCGTTGGGGGTAGAGTTGGCATAGAGAAAAGTGTGTGAGTGAAAGATACAGGCAGGGGCACAGGTATATATACTGGTCAACACTGGCATAGAAAAAACAAGTTCTGTGTAAAATAGGCAGCAATTCTTCTCCTATGCATGCAAGCTATGCTGCAAGATAAGAGAAACTGAAGCTGGAACAGGAATGTCACCTGGCACTAGGTCGTCTTCCTTTCCCATCATGGGCGGGTGTGCTGAATTTTTAAAAAATGAGTTCTTCTTTAATGGGGCTCTGCTTTGTCATTTCTAATGCTGGTGCTCTCAAAACTGTGATATCATGCTTTCTGATAGTTATGAGCCAGCCAAGCAGCACAAAAGGGGAGGGGAGAACCATCTGCGTAAGAAATTATGGAGATCCTTTACCAACCGGGATTGGTGCTAGCAGGTGATATGGACCAGTGGTGTGACAGCCGTTTTCTTCTAATGACAAGCTCAAGTTGCTCTGTGCCAGTCTGCTTTGGAACAGGTTGTTAGCCTTGGGGGGGGGGGGGGGGCTTTTAACTCTTCAGCGTCCACATGCCAGGGATGAGTGTGTGGCTCAGCTGATCCATGCATATTGAGTTATTGTCCCTACCCTGGCTCATCAAATGATCAATCTGATAAGCAGGGAGGTGGAAACTGGCAACTCCATGCTGCTGGTCTACATGGAGAGGTTTAAACCCAAATTGGACTGTTGGGGGTGGGAATCAGGCAGAGTATGGAGAAAATGGAACCCAGAGTCGTGCAACAAAGCTTAGTGGTGGAAGATTGGGGAGAGATTAAAGGAAGGACTTCCTCACACAGAACACAGTTAAACTCTGGGATTCGTCTGCACAAGACATAACGATAGCCACCTGTTATGTACTGAGTTGAATAGGATCCAAAATGCAGCAGTCTGATTGGTCCTAGAACAATGCAGCAGTATGATTGGTCCACAGGAGCCACCCAATCCAGCTCCAGGTGGAAGTGAATCCACAACCTGATTGGCCTACAGGAGAATCCTGGAACTAGCCAATCACGTGTAGCCCATTGTGTAAATAATGTATATAAAGCAGATATTGTGGGGGAACTTCCATTTCCTCCTCACCACTATGAGCTGAATAAAGAGCATGAAATCCACTCTCAACTCAGAGTATATTTCACCACCAAAAAAGCAGCTTAGCTAAAATCATGGAGGATGAGGCTGTTAGAGAATCACATGGGGAGAGTGTTGCTGTGCTTGCAGGCTTCCCATTGGCAACTGGTTGGCCATGTGAGAAGAAGATACTGCACTAGGTGGGACTTTGGTCTGATCCAGACTTCAGCATTTTGTCACAGCTTCCATGTGCCACTTCCATTCTGCTCATGGGCTCATCTTCGAAGAGCTATGTGGGATAGCTAACCCACTCCAAGGCATTTTTTTTTTTTCAAGGAAGATGTTTTTCACAGGATGAAAAGTCACCCCACAAGTACCAGATGTTAATTCTGGAATCACTCCAGGCTCTACCAGAGCAGCTCCTTCCAGTCCACTGCCCTGGAAAAGGGTGCCAGAATAGGCTGCAAATGTCAAAAATAGATAGATGTTGTGATGTCTGCCTTGTGTTCTTCCGCGCACAGAAACCAGTGTGTTACTTGTGGCAGCCTCACTGCAACTCCCCTCCCCTTTTACTCCCTAGCTTAAATTGCATTTCCCTCAGGGAACAAAACTAAAAGGTTTCAGTTGTTGACAAGACCATCATACGGCTTCTTCTTTTTTTACCCCTGTTCAGATGACACTCTATCAGTGTGTTATTATCTGCAGCAATGACATGGAAAATAGCTTGAAAGATGACAGCTGGGATTTGCTAGAGACCAAGACTAGGCTTTGAGAGCAAGCAAAATGTTTTCTTCTAGCGCCATGTTGAAATGCCTTGCCTTCATATTGTTCGAAGAACTGCATTTGGAGACTGTTTAAGGGGCATGGGGCTGGGGGAAAGTATGAAAAGGTATTGAGGGCATAAATCTTCATTTTGGTAGACCAAGCACTGTGTAATTTAACCCATTGTTCACATTACATCAACATGTAAGAGTCATTCTTATCTGGCCATCTATTCTCAAGATCAACACATAAATCCTAGTAGGTGTTCCTTATAATCCTGGCTCACTGAAGCAGGAAGTAAGGTGGCAACTCTGTTCTGCAACTGCACTTTGGAATATAGGTGGAAGGTCACATGGGGCAATGCTTCCCCACTGGGGAGAAAAAAACCCATGCACTTACAAAACTAGAACCTGCAGGGCTGAGGCAGGTGCCTTGAGGGGTAGAACCCCCAAGAGGAGGAACCCCTACAGGCAACCCACCCACCCTGCTGCCTCCCCTGCTGGCAGAAAAGCGGTGGTGGCAATGGCTTCCAGCAATATCTCATGAGATCTCGCTGAAATCTCACAAGATCTTGTGCACTCCATGGGCACGACCAAATAATAATAATAATAATAATAATAATAATAAATTTATTATTTGTACCCCACCCATCTGGCTGCCTTTCCCCAGCCACTCTGGGCAGCTTCCACTGAGACCAAAAATACACTAAAATGTCACCCATTAAAAACTTCCCTGAACAGGGCTGCCTTAAGATGTCTTCTGAATGTCAGGTAGTTGTTTATCGCTTTGACATCTGGTGGGAGGGCGTTCCACACGGCAGGCGCCACTGCCGAGAAGACCCTCTGCATGGTTCCCTGTAGCTTTGCTTCTCGCAATGAGGGAACCGCCAGAAGGCCCTCGGCGCTGGACCTCAGCATCCAGGCAGAACGATGGGGGTGGAGATGCTCCTTCAGGTATACTGGGCCCAGGTAAAAGAGGCTTTGGGGGGCAGGGGCTGCTTCAGCAGCAAGGCAGCACCTCCTCATTTTACTTCTGATGGTGAAATGTGATGTACCACCCCCTGAGTACATGAGACAGAAGAGTAGGCTAGAACGCTGCAATTTGAAGTGGTGCAGTCTAGGATTATAAATGATGCAGTCACATACCTGAATGCCTGCCTCACCTGTACAAAAAGTGCACCAAATGCTATTTCTTCATTTAGGCCCAGATGTACCTAGATAAATGGTTTGACTAGCGTGGGTTGAGTATATTTGGCCTCCAAACAGGCTAATCAGGAAAATTTTATACAAAGGCTCTATGATTGTGTTGAAATAATCTTTTAGCCTGCCAGAGACCTTGCAGTGCATTAATATGTAAATTGGGGTGAAGTGTTATATCAAGAGTACTCTGCAGTCATCTATTTTTTGCGCATCTGATTTATGCCTCTTTTTGAATGAGCCACTTTGTCTTTCAGCCATTTAATGCAAAAGGAGAGCAAATGCCATCTATAATTCCTGCAATAGGCAGCGATACAAATTGAAAACAAGCTTCCAATGACATGGAAAACCCATATTGTTATATCAAAGGATGGTTAGATAGAAGCCATTACTTAACGTCTGTGTTGATTTCGATCAAACACAAATGACCTGTAAGACAGTTTGTTCTGATCACAGTCTCTATTATATATTTGTTCACAAAAGAAACCGGATGGAACAAAGATTGATTGTACCCTGTCAAAATTATTTTCCAGGTAAATTTCCATGGGGATGTTCAACTGACAAAATCATTGCAAGGTATTTCCTCTCTGACAATGGTCCTAGCTTTAAGTTTTAAACAAAACCAGTCAGATTACCGGAGAGAATATTGAATTTATTATGAAACACTTTCTACAATTGAATTTCATTTTCTATTTGTTCCTGTAAGCTGTGACAGGCAGCCTATCTCAGCCTTCATTCCCCAGAGGCGAACAGCCGACGTGATCAGCTAAGCCCTCTCCCTACTGCACAAGCTGAGGGAAGATTTGCCATCTTGTAGGGGAGATGGGGAACCTCTGGAGGTAGCTCACACCTTGATAGGCTCATCTCCCAACTTCTTCAAGGTGTCAAGATCCCTTCCTTAAAGTATGGGGCCCACCCTGTGATTGCCTGGGCCTGTTGCTTCAAGTCACCTGGGCATGAAAGACCATAAAAATAAAGGGACCCCTGACCATTAGGTCCAGTCGTGACCGACTCTGGGGTTGCGGCGCTCATCTCACTTTATTGGCTGAGGGAGCTGGTGTACAGCTTCCGGGTCATGTGGCCAGCATGACTAACCCACTTCTGGCAAACCAGAGCAGCGCACGGAAATGCTGTTTACCTTCCCGCCAGAGCGGTACCTATTTATCTACTTGCACTTTGATGTGCTTTCGAACTGCTAGGTTGGCAGGAGCAGGGACCGAGCAACGGGAGCTTACCCTGTTGCAGGGATTTGAACCACGACCTTTCGATCGGCAAGTCCTAGGCTCTGTGGTTTAACCCACAGCGCCACCCGCGTCCCTATGAAAGACCATAAACATCAACAAATGTGGCTCTCTGGACCATTCTCTCTCTGGTCCTCTGAACTCTGCCCACTTTCACCCATGGCAACACCCACCATTGTATGCGGCCCCTGGAAGGTGGCTCTTGGGCTGGAAAGGTTCCCTGTCTCTGTTTTAGCAGGAGGATGGTATAAAATATTTCAAACCCATCGATACTTGGGGCCCTCCTCTGCCCCTCCCCAATGCTAGGCAAGCAGCTGCTTTGCAGGAAAGATGCACCTGAGTGTCTCTGTATCTGTCAGTCAAGCTATTCTACCTGCCATCTGCAGTGCGCTGTGCGCAGCTCAGGGAGCAGGGACTTCGCGTAGCTTTTCCCTTGGATTCCATATCTCTGTGAACAGGGACACGGCAGAATAATGTAAATTATCAGCATCCTGTTTCTGACTGGGAAAAGCATTCAAAGAACTTATCATCACAGCACTGTGGTTGCCATGGCTACTAGGTCACCATGCTAGAAAATCACCCAGTCTAACCATATGTAATGATCTGCCATGACCGCCCAGTGTGGTGGTGATGGTGGCTGTTCGATATTGTCTTTTACTTTGCCACTGTGGTGGATTTCTTTAAAGCTAAACGATGCCCATTTTTTAGCTTCTTAGGTGCGGTTTGCCAACTGGCCAGCAGAAATGGCCTAGTCTGCTCCTGAGCCTTCAAGAGCAGCTGGATCTGTAGAAATGAGCAGGTAAAGCTTGGGGTTTTTTTGTTTTGCTTCATGGAGGTCGGTGTTATTACCTGCTGATCTCAGCAAATCAAGCTGCTGTTGAAATCGCACAAACAGGGTAAACCTTGTTCTCATGGCGCATGTCCCTCCTTATAGCAGCCAAGAATAATTCCATCAAATTGCATGAATGACAGGAATTGCTTTTCACTTGAGACTCTCTGCCAGTGATGGATTTATGGCTGTGCAGCGGTGCACACACAGTGCTAGCTGTGTTAGCGCTTTCCCAGCTTTGGAAAGAAGGAGGGAGGGCTCTAGGACACTGCCAGGGCCCTTGCGCCTCCTTCTCAAAGTTGGGTGCCTCCTTACCTGCCTTTGGGTAAGGCGCCAAATTTTGGGCTCGCACAGGGCACCATAGTACCCAAGTCCGCCACTGCTTTCTGCCCTATCTTGGAAGACACTGGACGCTGCCTTAGAGTAAAGGTAAAGGGACCCCTGACCATTAGGTCCAGTCGTCGCTGACTCTGGGGTTGCGGCGCTCATCTCACTTTATTGGCCGAGGGAGCCGGCATACAGCTTCCGGGTCATGTGGCCAGCATGACTAAGCCGCTTCTGGCAAACCAGAGCAGCACATGGAAATGCCATTTACCTTCCTGCTGGAGCGGTACCTATTTATCTACTTGCACTTTTTGGCGTGCTTTCGAACTGCTAGGTTGGCAGGAGCAGGGACTGAGCAACGGGAGCTCACCCCGTCGCAGGGATTCGAACCACCGACCTTCTGATTGGCAAGCCCTAGGCTCTCTGGTTTAACCCACAGTGCCACCCACGTCCCTGTCTAGATAGGTATCCACCACAAAAATGTTTTCAACATGGAAGAGGAGGAAGACAGTATAGATTTACAACAGGGGTTTGAGGGAGGTAGCAGCTCAGAGGCAGACGAGGGGAAAAGCTGGGAAATCACGGGAACAACACCCAGCTGACACGTTGTCATTAGAAAGCCTTCCAGACACTCCGTCTCCTAGTACCCGGTGAGCCTTAAAAGTAGGAGAGCAAAGAGCTCAAAGACAGAGGGCACGTAGCAGCACCCGTAGAGGAGACAATGAGAATGACGAATGAGGAAGTGGGAGAGATGGGGAGTGGAGATTCACTCGGGACAATGCCATTATCCAAGACGCTGGGTTCTATAGCCTCTCTCTGTAAAGACTGAAATAAAAAAGGACGGTAGGAAACTTTTCCTTGTCTCTATACTTCCCTGGGCCACCAGCCGGGAGTTGCTGACAGCATCCTGACAATACCTGAGGGAAACCAGCAAACAGGACATGAGCACAAAAACACTCTCCCCGCTCATGGTTTCCAGCAACTGGTATTCAGAGGCATAATATCTCTGATAGTGAAGATAGGCCCTAAACTGTAATTTACTCACTTTTGTAAAACTGGCTCTTTCTGCAAAGCTAAAGCTGCCAGAACTTCCCTGCTGTCTTTGGCTCAAGCCTCCTTTAAAATGAAAAAGAAGCAGGGAAATGGGTGTTGCAGCCTCCTCATCCTTTTCTGTCACTGTAATGAACTACCACAGAACAAAAGCTCCCACTAAGACAGGGGTGGGGAACCTGTGGCCCTCCAGATGTTGGCATCAAACTCCCCCCAGCCAATATGGCCTACGGCTAGGGATGTGCATCTAGTTTGCCTCAGGCTCCGACAACAAAGTACTTCTGTACAGAAGTAAAGGATCCCCTCTGAAAAAATCTCAATAAAAGTACCAGGTAATGTTTTGCTTATGTTCATGTGAATACAGACACTGTCTTCAGTTCCTTTCCTGATGAAGATGCATAGTCTCCCCCCTTCTTCTGTGAAGCATTGTGCAATGTCTCCTGTGAATCAGCCCTATCAGCTCCTCCTGTTTACATTGTCCTTTGAAGCTCTTGCAAGAGGTTTCACAAGGGATTTGCTGTACCCATATACCTCCTGCAGTGGCTTAGCACAAGGGCTGCACAGAAATCCCTGCATGCATCAAAAGGAGGAGGGGGAAAAAACAACATTCTGTGTTTGGAAGGCTGGTAGACTCAGACTCAAAGCTCATTATCTAACTTGTTTACTCTGTGAAAAGGAATCACATGTCAAAGCAAAAGCTTAATCTCCCCCCCACCAACCCTCTTTCCAGTGCAAGTCTATGCATGTTTACTCAGAAGTAAGTCTTGCTGCGTTCAGGGGGGACTTACTTCCCAGTAAGCATTTTGAGGATTGCCATATGCGAATGTATTTTCCGACCCCATTTTAATTAATTAGGAAATGCATTCTCTTAAGGGCACAGATTCCAGAAATCCATTCCAAACTCAATTTAAGAAGAAAGCATAATTAATTGCCACTCACCCACTGCCAATATCATCTGTAAATCTAGATACATTAATAATATGAACCTTTCCCCACTGCTGATACCTAGACCACAGCCTAATACTGACAGTCATATACCATTGCTACATTTTTGGTAGCCCTCAAAGAAAATATTGTTAAATGCTCTGCAAATCCTTGATTGGTAATATGTTCCAGATGTGGTGTTTATCAGACTTTTGATTTCCCTTTGGGAAAGAGATTGTTTTTAGTGGAGAGATATGTGTTAGGGACGCGTGTGGCGCTGTGGGTTAAACCACAGAGCCTAGGACATGCCGATCAGAAGGTCGGCGGTTCGAATCCCCGCGACGGGGTGAGCGCCTATTGCTCGGTACCTGCTCCTGCCAACCTAGCAGTTCAAAAGCACAAAGTGCAAGTAGATAAATAGGTACTGCTCCAGCAGGAAGGTAAACGTGCGCTGCTCTGGTTCGCCAGAAGCAGCTTAGTCATGCTGGTCACACAACCCGGAAGCTGTACGCTGGCTCCCTCGGCCAATAAAGCAAGATGAGTGCCGCAACCCCAGAGTCGGCCATGACTGGACCTAATGGTCAGGGGTCCCTTTACCTTTACGTGTTATTTTGCAATGTTTGGTTTAAGAATTATGTTTTGGTTTTAGAAACATTTTTACCCTGCTCTTTAGCTGAAGAAGACTCTTGGAAGACTGTCCCCCTACCCTCAGGATTACAGCACAAAAGACATGACATAAAAGGAAAAGGGCTTGGTAAGGCAAGCGCAAATGCTAGTTATTCACACAACAACCAACTGGAATGGAAACAGGTCAAATCTTTGTTGAGGAACTTAATTGGTATGGGGCATTGTTGCATAATTATTAGCATGAGCCCACCCTGAGAGCAGTTACTGCAGGAAAAGGGTATATGAATAAAACTTGATTTGACTAGGTCAACACTGTCTGTTCCAACTGGCAGCATCTTTTTGTCTTGAGTCAAGGTTTTTCTCAGACCAGTAACCTGAGTTCCTTTTACTGGTGATGCTAGAGACGACCTTATTAATGCAAAGCATGTACCACTGAACTATGGCCCCTCCCTTCAGAAGACAGAAACTGATGGGTAGCTGGGAGGGGCTGTCTGTTTCTATCCACTGTATGGGCTAGTTCAGGACTGCACATTGCAACATCTTTCTCTGTCACATTGACTCTATGACCAACTCTTCAGTTCCTACTAAATTGGCTCTTTCTTTGTGGACATTTCTCTCTGCACTTTTGATCTCCTGGAAAAAAGTTCAGTGGCATTTAAGTCTCTCACCTTTGTCTTCCTATCTGGGGCAATAAAACAGCACAACCAACACTTGAGAAATAGCTGCTTGGTCTCACCTTCTTTCCCTCCACACTAATCTCTCTGGCTCTTCACAACTAAATCAGCAGCAATTCCAGTCCCAAGCCTCTAAAAGAGACAAACTCTTATCACAAGCAACTGCAAAACGGAATGGAAAATCTGGAGAAAGGAATTTGGTGCACAGCTAAATTTCTCTGGGCCCCTTCACACATTACATGTTTAGGTATGCTGTAAACGGCTGAGAGAGTCTCTCCCCTCTCAAAAAGAATTATAAAGTGATGATACATCATCATCATCATCTAAATAAATAATTATTTCATTGTGGATTGTTTCCTCAAAGGTATTCAGTGTTAATGAAGGCAGCTGTCCATAGACCTAGTTATACTATGTGGCAATCCCACCCTCAGCAGATGGCTGTATCTTCTATACTGTACTAATCACAGGTTTTCTTTTCGTGTGTCGCTGGGGAGAAAACCCCACCATTTAATAGGGCCCTCTGGGATAGAACTACCTATCAGGTAACCAACACGCAGAACCTGAGCAAATCTCTTCAGAACATCAGTTTCTAATTGCATCCTCAGTCACAGCACACATCTCTCTTCCATTTCCAAGTACTAAGGCTGCAATCCTAACTCTACTTACTTGGGAGTAGCCCCACTGAATTGAATAGGACATACTTGAATACACATGGCTTAGGGTTGTGCTGTAGTCAAACATATCCATTTCAAGTCAGTGTAGAACAGCTGGAAGTTACACATTTCCTAATCTGGCAGAACAAAAATATAAGGATTTTGATATAAACATGGGTTGCTATGTATTCTACCTATTTTTTAAAAAGGTCCAGTTGTGGATTGTATTCTTCCATTCATTTTAATACAGCCAGTGTGAGGTTCTTGCATTGAAATGAGCAGAAGGTGCATAGAATACTTTGCCTGGTTACTTGCACCCAGGGATAACAGCAAAAGCAATCTGGTGCTTTTGAAAATCACAAACAATTTCTCTTTCTTCTGCCCATCTTGTTTCTAAGCAACTGCAAACATGACCCCATTTGCTTGGCAGGTACTGTTGATCATTAGGTATTTTGCCCTTCAATTCATTCTCAATTGCTCATTAACTATAATCGTTAATGGGCCACTCAGTTTCACTCCTACGTTATCCAGGAAGATTAAACACTCTCACCTGCAAAATGTTTGTTGTTCAGCAAACTATTTTTACTCACTCTAGATTTCGATGCGTTTGAGAAGGAAGGTAAAAACAACCAAAGAAAAGTGTATATAAAAGTGATTGATTACCCCAATTTTTCATTTTTTATTTTAAAAACCATTAAACAATCTGGAAGATCAGGCGATGACAGGTAAGAGTGATGATCTATGTTGCTTTCATCTAGCTTAGCAACTTCCCTGGAGATGCAGGTTGGAAGTGTGTAAATAAAGCCTCTGTCTTCCTTTCCCACACAGAATCACATTTGCATAGTCTCCTCAAGAGTTTGGAATTAAACTAAAAAAAAAATAATTGGTCCCTTACATTTTAAGGTTTTGAGAAAAAGGAAATCTGTAAAGCAGATTTTTTTTTAAAAAAAAACAACACAATTTATGGGGAAGCTTGTTTTGAGGTAAACAACTTCCCCCTTTTTTGTGTGTATTCTGATACAATTTTATTGTATTTCTATTGCAGAACCAATTGCAAAATATTTTCTTGACTTTAAACACAATACAAAGTTTTTAAAAAAAACTGATTCTTGGGAGACTATAACACAAATGACCTGTTCACCAGTACAGAATAATATGACAGACAAGCTGGACCAGGTAAATGGTTCTGATTTAGATTTTCACCAATAACTTAGTTGCGTCTGTGCACTCTTGAGTCATGCCCATTAGTTGCAAGCCACTTATATTTTGTACAACAAAGCAAAAATAGAGAAAAAGAGAAAGGGGACGGAAAAGAGGGGTTACTTGCTGAGAAATGCCAAGCTGCATCATAAACCACTCTTCCATGTGTTGCATCATTTGTATAATCAATAAAGCTATACCTAATGGCAACCTTTAGAATCTATTTGCTAGGCAATTGTGTTCCCTGTGTTGAACTCTAGTGTTCATGTGGTGGGTGGTTTAACCACAAGATCAAGGAGACATACATACCAGCAAGTAGTGGGGACTGGGCCATTAGGGTGAAGGAGGCAATGCCCCACCAACCTCAGCAAGCTACAACTTTCTTTCTTTCTTACTTAAAACCAGGGATTGGCACTGCCTGACAGCTTCCTGCTCCTTAATCTTTGTGTTGTCATAAAACACAGCAGGGCTGAGGATGAGAGCAAAACTAGAATTAGTTGGCTGTGCCTGCTTCTGGCTCCACCTGGTGTCGAGCTCCTTGCCTTCTTCCACCCCTTCATAGAATCACAGAATCACAGAATTATAAGAGTTGGAATCTCAACTAAAGCACACAGGACAGATGACCATTCAACCTCTGCTTTACACCCTCCATGGAAGAAGAGTTCACAGCCTCCTGAGGGAGACTGTCCCACTGTCAAACAGCTCTTCCTGTCAGAAAGTTCTTCCTGATGTTTAGATGGAATCTCCTTTCTTGTAACTTGAAGCCATTGGTTCGAGTCCTACCCTCCAGAGAAGAAGAAAACAAGCTTCCTCCATCTTCCATGTGACAGCCCTTCAAATATTTGAAGATGGCTATCATATCTCTGGTGGGACGCGGGTGGCGCTGTGGGTTAAACCACAGAGCCTAGGACTTGCTGATCAGAAGGTCGGCGGTTCGAATCTCCGTGACGGGGTGAGCTCCCATTGCTCGGTCCCTGCTCCAACCTAGCAGTTCGAAAGCACATCAAAGTGCAAGTAGATAAATAGGTACCGCTCCGGCGGGAAGGTAAACGGTGTTTCCGTGCACTGCTCTGGTTTGCCAGAAGCGGCTTAGTCATGCTGGCCACATGACCCAGAAGCTGTAGGCCGGCTCCCTCGGCCAATAAAGCGAGATGAGCGCCGCAACCCCAGAGTCGGACACGACTGGACCTAATGGTCAGGGGTCCCTTTACCTTTTTATCATATCTCTTCTTAGACTTCCTGGCTAAACATACCCAGCTCCCTCAACCATTCCTCATAAGGCTTGGTTTCCAGACCCTTAATCATCTTGGTCGCTCTCCTCTGCACACGTTCCAGCTTGTCAATATCCTTCTTAAATTGTGGTGCCCAGAAATGGGCACCTTATTCCAGGTGTGGTCTGACCATCAGTCTCAATAGACGCCAGCCACCTCTGCTAGCAAGCTGAACATCGGTTGAGTCTGGCCACACAATTGATGGACCATGCACCATTTTGCTTTAAAAGTGGCATATGTGCACTTATTGATCATTTAAACATTCATCCTCCAGGGTCTCTTTTTTAAAACACTGAAAATATTGAAAAATACGTAAATTAAAATGGCCACAAAACATTTGAGGGGATTGAAGGAGAGGTGTTAATAATGTCACTATTGGCAATGGTCAGTTGAGGCCTTCCACATCCAACGGGCCCAGTTCTGCTGAACCGTATTGCAAACTTGCAAAGATGGGTTTTCAGAGATTACAAATGGCAGAGCTGGGTTTATACCAGAGGTGAAGAACGTGCTGCACTTTCTCCTTAAACACTTCATCTGTCTTCCTTCCACCCAAAAAAATAGATCAAAGGCTCAATGGCCATCCCAAATTAATTACCAAGTAAGAATTGTTGCTGCTTTCCCCAGTTTTTGCATCAGCACTCCTGGTGTCCAATTAAGCGCTAGTCTGAGGCCGCACACCCATTTCTCACAGGTCAGCAAGCAGCTGTGAGATGACAACTTCTGGACATTAAACAACTTGGCTTGGATTTGATCTGACGCCTCCCAGGTAGAAAGCTTTATATGTCCAATTACTGCTGCCAAAGCTCAGTCAAATGAAATGAGGAGAGGGTGTTTTAGGGTGACAGAAAATAATGATCTATCACCCAATTTCACCAGCTTCCCCGAAGTTCTGTTTCTGTCTTTCCAGACAGCACAGAGTTTTCTATCTTTTAAAACCAAGGTAGCCATAGCTTTGAATGGTATTTTCTTGGAGAGGCAATATTATTGCTCTATAAATGTGAGATTTGATGAAAGAGACGATGCAATCACAAGAGTGTTTTTCTCATGGGGAGAAGAGGGCTTATCTACACCTATATTTATGCATATTCTCCAAACCAGGGATGGGGAACCCCTGGCTCATGAACCAGATGAACCCTACAGGACCTCCCCTTCCAATCTGCCCCCTACCCTATTTTCCCAGCTGCTGAGTTGTAACTTCCCTTCAGCATGGGGAGCAAACTCTATTCTCTATGCTACCCGGCTGATCAGAGGTAACAGTTTGCCCACTGCTGAGATGTACTCTCTGATCAGCTCAGCAGTATAGAGAACGAGGCATCACAGGAAGGACAGATTATAGCTCAGCAAAGGGCTCGCTGTGTTTCCAGGCTACAAAATGAGAAAGAGAGGCTCCTTTCACCATGCCACATTATTATTTTTGATATTAAATACAAAATAATAATATAAAATACATAATAAAACAAAAACAAACCAATAATAATAATAATAATAATAATAATAATAATAATAATAATAATTTATTATTTGTACCCCGCCAATCTGGCTGGGTTTCCCCAGCCACTCTGGGCGGCTTCCATAGAAACAAAAAATACAGTAAAATAACCGCCCCCCTCCATACACACATTTTAAAAAGCCATAGAACGTTAATCAGCCAAAGGCCTGGGTAAAGAGAAATGTCTTTGCTTGGCGCCTAAAGATATGCAAGGAAGGTGCCTGGTGAGATTCCCTGGGGAGAGCATTCAATAGGCAGGGAGCCACCACAGAAAAGGCCAGTTATCATGTTGCCACCCTCCAGACCTTAAGTGCAGGAAGCACACGAAGAAAGGCAGCAGTTGATGAGCACAGGGGAGAGAATGCTTGAGGCTCTGTGGTCCTGAGCCGTTTCAGGCATGGTGGGAAGCTTCTGTGACCTTTAGCCAAGGTCCATTTCCACTTAGCACAGAGTGTTAACTCCTTGAAGCTCACAACATTCTAAAAGTCTTATGAGTCTGTTACCTGTTGTATTTTCTGTGGTGGCCCCCCGTGTGTCGAATGTGTTATGTACTGAAGTTCTCACCCTGGGCCAGTAGGGGGATACTGTAGTTTTCACTCAGGTCCACATATGCAAATAAGGAATTGAAAGTGACGTTCAGTGATTGGATAGTTACAGAAAATTGTTACTGTTGCCTTGTAGTTGAGCTCTATATAAGTAGGTTCTATTTTGGCCTGTGAATAAACAAGAGCTGTTTGAAGAACCGCTGTGTCGTCTGATATGTTCACCCACAACTTAACATAATGCTCTCCCCAGAGAGCCCCCCGCCCGGCACCATCATTACATGTCTTTAGGCCCCAGGTGAAAAATTCCTTTTTACCCAGGTCTTTGGCCATTAAGTAAACTATGGCCTGTTAAATGTGTGAGGGGCAGGGACGGACTGTTATTATGATTATTTTATTATTACGCTGCGTACAGGCAAACCCCCCACCCTGATAATGTGCATTCAAAATATGTGTGATCGTGCCGAACCTGGAAGTGACCTGAAAATGTGACAAAAACATCACAAAAAGGGGTGGAACAGGACAGGGGCGGAAGAGGGTGTTTGCAGGACTTTTCACTGATGTTTCAAATATATGCAATTTCGCTTAAACACGTGGTGTCTTGGAACATAATCCCCGCGTAAACTGGGAGTTATGTTTTTACTATGATGCTGCATTTTTGTTCTTAATGTTGTATACCGCCCTGGGATCTTTGGACAAAGGGTGTATATAAATTGAATAAATACTGATAACAATAATATTACTGTATACCACTTTGGGAGCTTTCGGCTGTGGTTTATAAAGCTGCAAAATAATGACAGTTCTTTTCTCATCAGATATTCCACTCTTCTTTGTTCTCTACTTCTGAGCAATTCAAATGCAGCTTTCTACACATTATTTCTCATGTTTCCACCTGTGTCTTAACTATTAAACACAATTAGGGGACAACATTGTCTGCATTTCAGAATGCGGTGGAAGGCTGATCTGTAATAGTCAGTCTGCATCTTTCATTAAGGGCTGCTCAGTCTTTCAAATAGGCTCAGGAAGATGTATAGGCATCCTGGTTTTATGATTTTGCTGGTGTTTCAGTTTGCATTACTCTTCCAAGCCCTCCCCCCCCCCCTTTTAAAGGCTTTGACGATTACTCTTTTGAGGAGTGGAAAAATCAATTGAGTTCCTTCAAGCTCCAGAGATTTTTCCCTGCCCTAAAAAACTCACTTTAATAAAAGGCATCTCCCAAGCTGCACTGCTGAAGAATCCAGAGTGAAAGATAGGAAGGGAAACCCATCCTTTTCAGGGGGTGATTATAAAACTGGAGCCTAATGCAGCAAAGAGGGAAGAAAAAAAAGTCCCAGGATTTCAACTAGGGGCATTAAACAGAAGGTTGGGGGGGGGGGAGTGCAAATATATCACTGCCTGTCCCTGACTCATGGGAAATCTCCAAGTGAATTTTTAAAAAATAAGGGCCAAAGTTAAGTGCTGCCTGAATTTCAATGGGAGCATTAAGCATGTGCTTAATTTACTCACATCGATACAAAAGGGACTTAAAAGTGATTAACCCTGCTTGGCTTAAAAGAGATCAATAGTTGGTTTGCCTAGCACTATATCTTCATAGGTGCTCTGGTCCTGCATTACTAGGAAATACGATGGAGGGGCTCACAGCATTAACACCCCAGGAGGGTCTTGCTTGTCCCATAGCCACAGACTTGGATTCCAGCAGAAGTCAGGCATGGCTCTGTCTCTCAGCTGCCCAGCCTGCAGCCTCTGTCTCCTAGCTCTCACATATCTCTACTCCGGCCTTTTGTCTTTCTAACTACCAGTGAGTTGAGGGAGGAGCCCCTACCCATTTGAAATCTGTCTCAGAGCCGAAAGACTTCCGGGGTGGCGCCATCGGTAATGGCGGACTCCCTCTGAACTGGAGGGACCAGCTCCGCATGAAACGGGTCTTTTCCGCTACGGCGAAGCGGGGACCCTTCTGGAAATCACAGGCGGATGAAGCCTGTGACCGTGGGACTCGGCGGGCACCCTTAGCGCCCCCCCAACCCGCAAAGGAACCCACTAACGGGCTCCGAAGCGAAGAGGGGGAAGTGGCGCGGTGCTGTGAGTCAATTGCTTTTTCTGCGGAGCGAAGCCGCATAGCCGTTGCCAGAGAGAGCTGCCTTTTTCCTGGGACAATTTGGCATCTAAAATAACCACCCGTGAGTACTGGAACATTGAACATTTGGACTTTAAATAAGAACTGGCGAAATAGAAAGGAATTTGGACTTAAAAATTTACCTTAATTTGGTACTGAAACGGTAAGGTCTAAACAGGAAGTCAGCCTTCCGTTTCCTTGTAGCCAGAATAAAGCAAAGACAACATAAACTAGAGCTTTAAAAATCACTTTCAAAGGATTGGTTTTCATCATTTAAAATCGCTGAACCCCCCTTCGGCAGCAGGAGAAGAAGGGGGATCTTTTTTGGGCTGTTTAAACCTGCAGAAGTGAGTTTAAAGCAAAGTAATTTTCCACCGTCCTGATCCTGGAGCGGGGTGTCAGAATTGACGTTTGAAGCTCATTGACCAGAAACAAATGTCTTTGACAGATAGTTAAAAGAAGAGAAACATAGTGATTCCATTGTTTCCTTTCGCATTTTAAAAAGAACAAATATGGACAAAATACCTTAAAAAAGAAACTTTGTTGCTATTGTTTTTAAAAGAAAGAACAATCAGAAGATTTCCCCCTAGAGGGGACTGTGAAATTGTAACTAATTCCTGGGAGCTTGCAGCTGCCACAGATTACAACCGTGGGAAAGGATTTGTGACCTTGCAGGACAATGTCTTCAGAAGCACTGTTGGGTGCTCTCTGCAAAATAAATGCCCTATTGGATCAGTTAAGCCAGAAGACGGATGTGATGACTAATGCGGCCAGAACCTTTGAAAAGGTAGTGGGAAATTATATGGAGCCCACCCAGGAGCTAAAACAGGAGTGTGCCATGACAGAACAGCTGAGAGAAGAGGATGCTGCTGAATCTTGGGCGCCAGAGACGGAGGGAGCTGCGGCCCAGCAGGAACATAAATTTTTGGATTTGACAAATGAACTTGGAAAAACCAGACTTGGAAAGATAAAGTTTGGTTTGGTTTGGAAATGGGGGGTTGGACAGACCCCCCTATACAGGGAGATTTGGACTTTTCGAGTCTGGCAATGGGCCGTCAGATGTTTGGAGCTGTGGGGGCTCTCAATTTTGGAGGGAATCTGAAACATGTTTTTAAATACCACATGGAGTCTAGTCTGGACTATGGAAAAGGGGCTGATTTGTTGAAAAGGGTCAAAAATATTACCAAGCTGGAGTTCCCACGAATGAAAGGAAAATATGAAGAAGAGCTGCGGAAGGGACATGGAAGAGACTTGAGGGCCTCGGATATAAGATTACCAGGTTAATGTGCTAGGATAATAGGATAAAAAGGACTGACAAAACCCAGGACCAGGAGGAAGGGACGCTGGATGAAGATTGGATTGTTTATTTCTTTTTATTATTATTATCATTAGGATTGTTCTATAAAATTGATGAATGCTAGAAAAATGTTGAAATGAAATTACTTGGCTCTTGTAAAAATGTCTAAAGAATTTGGTAAGAATGTTATGGTTAGGAGAAGTTGGTAAAAATAAGATTTAAGTTTTAAACTTTAAGGTTTTCTATAAGATAAGATGAAAATAGATTAAGGTAATGTAATGACAGAATACTATGAATTATGGAAAGGATTTGCTGCGATTATTATTAATCAGGATACAAGAAAAGGGAGGAGGAGGAGGTCAAAGAAAGAAGGCATTGAAAGGGGAGAATTTGAGAATGATGGTTTTATTTTTTATTTTTATGTCTTGTCTTTTTTTTGTGTAATTTAAAAATTTTTTTCCCAATAAATATCATTTTAAAAAAAATGAAATCTGTCTCTGAGCCACTTCCTTTGTTACCTTAATGGTCCGTGCTTAGAGGGCCATTAACTTACCAGGAAGCTAGCCTGGCTATTCCAGGAACTGAATGTGCTGGATCCAGGAATTAGAAGGGGGCTCAGGCATATAGCCTATTCCCCCCACCCAAATTCACAGCAATATAATGCACGGGGAGTTGCATTGTTGCAGGGAGTGCAGAAGTCTGCATTCACTGCTTTAAAACAAAGCACAACAAATGTGCATTCTTCGGTTGGTTGGACAGACTTCAATGAAGATATATATATATATATATATATATATATATATATATATCAAAAGGTTAATAAACTGGCATAGCTGGAGGTCTTGTTGCTGTTTTGTTGCTTTTTTATTATTATTAAAAGGTTAGATAATGGATCCCACATTTTCCCAAGGGTGAAATATTGCAATCCGAGTGTTTGAGAGAATGTGATAGCCCTGGGATAGATAGACTCCTTCACTTTGGGAGGACACCTAGACTCTGCAGAAACAAATGATTAACAGCTGCACAGCTGTTGTGTAAAAATCCAACCGTCTGAACTTTGGAGAGCCCTGCCGTTTACAAGCCAGGATGAGAATTATTATTTCAGCTGAGAATATATCAGAAGGTTTCTTGGATGTCTTTTTAAATGGTCTAATTTTAACAAGACATAACCAGTGCGATAACAGTGCTTAGCGTGTATATACTTTAGCACTTAAATTGTTCACGCTTTAAAAAATTGGTTCACCTATATCATCTCTACAATCCTTTTAGGAACTTTGCAAGGTACGTATGTGACCTGGCTTCTTCCCAACAGATGCAGACAGAGGCTCTTACTTGTAAGTAACAAAGAGGTACAGATTTAGCAGCAGACTCAGTGCTCACGAGTCGCCATTCAGGAGTTCAAGAGCGAAACAAGACTTTCAGAACTGGATAGAAGCAATCAAGATGTCCCAACAAGGAGCTGATGTTGGGATTTGTACTGTATTTGTTAGAGCATGTATTTTACAAAAAATAAATTGTATTGGTCCCGTCCACCCTGAAAACCTATGTAATGGAATGTAACATCTGCAAAATCTTGTGACTCCAATTAAGGTCACAGAAATGCTGAATCATTGTCTTGTCAGTTTGTTAACTCCCTTTTAAAGTGAGCATGTGTGTGTCTTAGGTAGAGCTAGCAGGGGGTGGGAGCTGGGGGTTGGCAGTTTCACTGTTGTTTTGCTGAGTGTGAAGACGCTGTGTCTGGAGGAGTTGGTGAGGACAGACAAGCTATAATTTAGGGACTGCTTCAAATGGGTTTTAGCAGCAAGAACCAAGAAGACCCTCTCTTGGGCTCAAGAGAATGAAAAGCATTGCATTGGACTCGGTATATATGTATGATACTGCCTTGTAATAGTTGGCATTCTGCAAGCAAAGAGTCATCTTCAAAGTCTTGTGTGTGGAGTCTACTTCTTCCCTAGGATTTCGAGGGTGAAAGCGCTGCATGACTCAGGAAAACAGCCAACAGCTGGAATGGAAGGAGGCACCACCGCAGGTGACAAATGCCCAGCCCTGAAGGCTGTGATGCCACACAACAATAGTTGAAAGAGGGCACATATTAAGCTGCTTTTTGCCTGATTGGGAACCCAGGAAACTGTCTTACTTGAGTCAGATTGTTGGTCCATCTAGCTCCATATTGTTTACACTGACTGGCAACAGCTCTCCAGGATTTTAGAGGGATATCTCTCCCAGCCCTACCTGGAGTTGTCAAGGATTGAACCTTCTGCAAGCCAACCAGCTGCTTGGCCACTGAGCTATGGCACTCTGCCTAACTCAGCCAGATACTGATTTTTATCTGTACCTCTAAAATGACCCCACCTTTTCTGATCCAGTAGGAGTTGCCATTAATAGCATCTTTAGTCTGGAATTCTAAGCACACTGAGTAAAAGTATATTTATCTAAATTGAGGTTGTTTCTAAGTAAACACAGGAGTGGACTGCAGGTGTATGGTTGTAAAATCTTCACTGCTTACTCAACTGATATGAAAATAGGAGGCTTGTGGAAGAAACCAGCTTTTGCTTCTGACGTCCACTGCATTTGCCTGGGATGGCAAAAAAAAATATGAAGTCATTACTGATTATTTTCAAAAGTAAAGAAATCATTGATAAGCCCCTCTACTTTCTTTATAGGCTCCATTCTACTTTAATGGGCCTTGTCCTAGGGGGAAAAATACTTTCAATGCAGGTTCTGCCATTCTCTTCATTTTCACTTGCCTCTATTCTTAATGTTCAATGCGATAAGGAAATTATCTCCCATTTTTCACAGACATGGCAAACTAGCAGATGGCTGTTTCTTTAACCCTCCCCAGCCCAGTCAAATTGCAAGCAAGGCCAAGGCGACGGAGCATCTGTTGCAGCAGATAAATTCTTTTCATTTAATTGGCTATTCAGGCATCTTTCCAAAGTGCCCCGACACCATCTCCTTGTTGTGAACTTGACTTCTTTATGAATGTTCTCAAAGGACAGTAATGATGTGCAGACACAATGGCCCAGCTTTGGAACTCAGGCAAGATCCTGAGCTCCTTGCTGGGTCTCATGCTATGACATCTGCCACTCATGTGTCTTCCCTGAAGCCTTTGCAGTTCATTCGCTGAGGCTTATCCCTTCTAGCGTTTTTCATTCTCACTGCAGTGTTCTGAACAACATGGATTATGCTAACAAAAACTAAAAGGGGAGAGCTTAAATGTTCCCCCATGCAACAAAATGTGGGGCAGTATTCTGGTTGCATGCTTTTCTAGTTTAACAGGGTTGCAGATTGATTCACCCCCAAGCAATTATTAACAGGGAAATTAAGCACTGAACTCCCACATCCAAATATCTGCAGTGTGTGGAAGAGGTCTGACTTGGGTAAGTCATTACACAATATTACCACCATCTGACAAATTGGAATATTATGGATGAACTTTGCAGCATCCTTGGGAATGCAGATTAATGTGCAGGTGGTAAAATGTAGTGCCTAGTGAATAGCGCTCCTTGGAGGAAAGGAAGATGGAATATAATCACGATAAAAATAAATAAAATTAAGTAACTGAGTGTAGCCATTTCTGCTAGAGCTGTGCAAGCAACTCTCAATTTGGCAGTGCAGACTGGACTTTGATCTGGGCCAGACCAACGTACCCCGAACCTGGCCCCTGAACTAAATTAGGGACCTTGCACAGCCCTAATTAGGAATTTAAAGCCTAATTAAACATTACAAGAGTGGTGATGAGAGGCAGGAAAAAAGTACAGGTGAGAATCTCTGCCTGCCTATTCTCCTCCTCCTCTTCTCCCTTACTGCCCCTCCTTTTGACAGCCCTGAATTGCACAGGGTGGACCCAACCCGAGGTGATCTGGGGCTGCCCTGACACACTCTGGACAAACTCCAAATTGACCTCATTTGGTTCAGGATCAAGGATTTGGCTCAGGCCAGGTGTACAGCTTTTAAACTTCTGACGCCTTCTTTTGAGGGGGAAAGAAAGTTGCAGCGCGCTCAGGAATGTTTTGTATTAAAACATAATTACAAAACTGCATAAATACAAATTGAAAATATCAGGCAACGTGAACCTTTAAAAAATCAAATGGCAATATATTTGGAGTGAGGTATGGATGGAACAGTTCAATTTAAATACAGTATAGAACAGCAGGCCGAAGAGATATCATTATGTGAGTCGGCCGCCAGGGGGAGCTACAAGACAGCTTATTGATAAATGTACCTGAAAGAAACTGTTCTGAACAAGGAAAGCAAGGGTGGTTGCCTTGAATAAGGGCTCCTCCACACTTCTCTTCTCCCGTGCCTAGAAAGCATGGGTGTGAGTGGTTTTCTGCTTGGCCCACATTTTCTAGGCATCAGTCTGAGCGATTTCCCCCTTGTCTAATAAAAGGTGTAATTTCATTCTCCGTTTATTTCCAACTTTTCACTGTATAGGCACCCTCTTCTCAAAATAACAGGGGCAATGCTAACATATCTGAACCACAGGAGGCTAGGAAAGCGCTTATCTGAGCTTAAGAAGGAAGGAAGGAAGGAAGGAAGGAAGGAAGGAAGGAAGGAAGGAGCTTTTCAGAAAAAGTGTCGGAAAATTCTTTCTCCAAGGAGCAACTTCCCAGCTGTATGAGAGCTCCAGAAAGATGTGCTCAAGAGATAGTAGAACTGGCCAAAGTTGTGTCCACCTGCGGAAGAGCTGAATACAGAGGCCTCATGAGCAAAGGAACAGCACACACAGGGTCAGGTGGCACAGAAAACGTGGTAAGAAGCTTTGGTGCCAGGGCCGAGAACAGAACATTGAGGAACTTGCTCAATATCACTTAGCATGGATTAGTTCAGGGGTCAGCAAACTTTTTCAGCAGGGGGCCGGTACACCGTCCCACAGACCTTGTTGGGGGCCGGACTATATTTTGGAAAAAAAAATATGATGCAAGAGCACCACGAGCCCCGGTGGCTGCTTACCTGTGTCTTGTGAGCGGCAGGGGCTGGCGACGGGACGATGAGCGGCGCACGAAAGGGCTTCGGAGAGGGGCTGCTTAAAATGGCGGCTGCTTGAGCGCTGCTGCTGCTGGCACCAACAAAGCACAGCCCCCATCCTCCTCTAGGCAGGGCGGGGAAAAGCCAGGAGGAGGGAGGGAGGAGGCGATGGCGGCGCTGTGTGAGGGAGCAGAAGGGAGAAAAGAGTGTGCATTCTGGCGATCCATGTGGCGATTTCCGGACCGTCCGCAGGCTGGATCCAGAAGGCAATTGGGTCTGATCCAGCCCATGGGCCTTAGTTTGCCTACCCATGGATTAGTTACTCCTTAATATGTGTTAAGCACCTTCTTGCATCTCCAAGCTGGGCAGCAGGTTGTGTTCTACTTCCATGTCAGAGGCAGAAATGCCACTGTATATCCCTTGCTAGAAAACACAGGAGAGGAGACTGCCCATTGGTATCTGTTTGGCCAATTTGGTAACAGCGTACTTGTCTAAATAGGCCACTGGCCTGATCCAGAAGGCTCTTCTTATGTCCCCCTGATTTTAGTCCTTCCTTCCTTCCTTCCTTCCTTCCTTCCTTCCTTCCTTCCTTCCTTCCTTCCTTCCTTCCTTCCTTCCTTCCTTCCTTCCTTCCTTCCTTCCTTCCTTCCTTTCTCTTTCATTCCAGTTTGAACATTGTGGGACATATGATTTGTTACTTATTTGCTTAGCATTGGCAATCTTAAAACACTTGATGCATGAGGATTGTGCTTTCTTAACTTCAGCATTCTCTTTTCTTGTTGCACTTAATGATTTTCCCCCTATGGTGACATTAGCCAGAAATAGAGATCGTCTTCTTGTAAACTGCCACAGTGGGTGAATAGGTCCATTGGAATGGATGGGTATGTCACTTCCAGTACCCCACTGTACATTCTGGAAATTCACCCATGTGCCTTATATATGCTCCAGTACATCAGTCTAAGGACATGCAAAAATGCCTTCCAGTGTGATTAAAAAATACATGGCACAACAGCATATATGTATCTCCTAGCTAACATGTTTCCTTTCAGGGTTGCTAACTTCCAGCCAGCCATGCCCTCTCCCGGAACACTCCATTACACTTCCTCCTTTTCTCTGCCCTGCCCCTTTTAACCAATTGTCACTCAACATCTCATGTTCTCATTGGCTGTTTAGTTGTGCAAGCAAGGAGGAGGTTGCATCCTTAAGCTTTATTTTTTTTAAAAAAAGATTTTTGTACTTCTGAAAATCCAGGGGTTTCCCCAAACAAGCAAATTAGCCATCAGCACTCACTGGCTCAGTGCACTGTTAGAGGATATTCTGATAAGAGGGAGATACTATGCAATGTTTGGCTGATATCAGTGAAAAGACATTTAACACTTTCTGTGTTTTAAATGTACAGGCAACTCACCTTACATGGTGGTTACGTTCTAGGAGTAGCACATACAGGCAAAATTATTCATAGCCAAAACAAATTGGGTTCAATGGTGGGTGGGATTGCCAAAGTCATTTTTTCCTGGGCGCTCACCCGCTTTAAACAATTTAAAAAATATTTTTTGATGCTGATGTAAAGCTGAAGACACACGTTAAATGTGTGTAAGTTGCGAGTTACTGTACCTCTCTTCATTTAAACAAACTTTTATCTAGCACTTGAATCTTCAACACACATGTGAAGATAAGCCAAACTGATCACACTGAACATATTTCTAAGGAAATCTTAGAAGAACGGCCATATCAGCCATACAAAGTTTCCTGCTGCGTTTTGGAGCTAATTTGCATGATGCAGAAGGAATAAGCGTCATTGCTTTCATCCCAGTCCTGCTTGTAGGGAACTTGACATGGGGCCAAGATTAGGCAAACCGCACTTACCTTTTTGATCTGCCAATTCTGGTAGTTCAGCTCTGGAACTTACAGGGATCACTGTGTATTTGGCAAGAAGGATCACATACATCTCTGTTGACATCACAAAGAAAGAGGTATTAGTAATGTCATCATCATTTGTGATGGCCCAATTCTGGAATTCTGAATGGAGTTCACGTCTCTAGTACATGACTCTCATCTTTTAACTCTGAAAATCCAGGGTTTCCCTCATGGGTGTAGAATTCCCAGAGGAAAAGGGATTGATTGTTAAACCAGTCTGAGAACTGTAGCTCTGGAAGGGGAGCAGGGGTTTCCAAACAAACTCGCAGCAACCAACCACAGAACCCAGGATTCTTTTAGGGAAGTCATGCCTGTATAAAGCAGCATGATACTGCTTAAAATTTTTAATGCAGGCAGATTCCCATCGATGTAGTTTAAGCTAAGAGATCAGGCACATACATGTGTTACTTGTGTGCAGGGCCCTCTCATGCATTGCATCCACACCACTGGCCATGCCTCCAACCAATGTTGTGTCCCTGGACTAGCCCTTTCACATGTTAAGCATGGAGGTGTGTCTGCAATGGAAACTCTATGCACATGAGCAGGGCTAGCCTAAGGATGCAACATCAGGGCCAGCAGTTCCTGCCACAACACATGAAGGGGCCAAGATCAGCCACTGAAATTCATGTCTAAGTCAGAATTGGAACTTGATCAAGTCACAGAATCATAGAAGTGTAGAATTTGGAAGGGACCACAAGGGCACAACCCTCTCCAGTCCTAGCCGAACTTCTGCCTCTTCCTTCCTCCTCCCATAACCACTGTCTCTTTGTCCAAGAGTCCGGCAGCTCTCGCTCCTTATCTCAGCGCATATGTATACTCGCAACAGATACCCTGGTGCATCTGGCGGCCACATTCTGCATGCCACATGAGTTGGGTTGCCAAGTTCCCATGAGAAGTGAGAACTCCCAATTTGAGTACTTCGTTAATTGAGCAATGCCGATTTACATAATTCAGGTGTGCAAGCTGGGTTTCCACCTGCTTGGACAAAAGATTAAAAATAAACTTCCATGTTGCCTAGTCATCCAACCTACAGTGTCGGTGGCTGGGAAGCAAGGGCAAGGGTTGGGTTTTATTTTTTTTTCACATGTAGATCCTTGCAAGATCGAGGGCAAATAAGTAGCAATTATCATGCCACAGTTGGTAATTTGGCCTCTTGGCTTTGCCAGGCCATTAGATCATATCATCCAGTTTCCCAGGACGATGCTGCCCTGACTAGCATGTGTACTAAACAGCATATGCCGCTAGAGGTCACTGCCGGTTTCTTCCAAACCTGAAAGAAGCGCTGGCTTCATCTCAGATTTGCAGCAGGTAACCCACTTAGCAACAGCTAGATCTTTAAGCTCGGGGACTGCTGATTGGCAGAGCTTCTGCAGCCAAGAGACTGAGTCCAGAAGATCTGTCAGTAAGACACAAGACAGAGACAGAGCGCAGAAGGTGATTCTGCTGCACTTGGTCTCTATTAAGCCGCTGCTTTGTCAGGCTGAACCCCTGCTATTGTTCCACCTCTCTGCAGTTTTAGCACCCCCCCCCCCACCAAGTGACATCCAGTTTTATTACCAGGAGTCCCGAGGAGATGGCTGTGAGCTGTCTGATTCCAATGAGAAAAGGGATGCTCTTTTTTAGGGAAAGGGCTGAATTTGCTGGGTGTGCGGGGGGCGGGTTACATCTCTCTTAGCATGCGGCATTTCAACCCGTCACCTCCATTTTCATGCTTGAAGGGAAATGTGAATATTCCACTTTTTATTTTTTTTAAAACTGCCTTTTCAGTGCCACTGCCAATGTCTTGTCACTGCCTTCCTTGTCTTCATAGAAGAGGGAGGCAGTGCCTGGTCCAAGAGGAAGGACCACCAGGCTGGGTTTGTCCTTGAATGACCTTGGCTTGATTAGTGTAGGACATGGATACCACGCTGCTCTTCTCCGTATCCCAAATCGCAATCAGTGCTGCAAGGCTCAGGGACGTTAATTTGGGCCTCATAAGCCTGGCATGTGTTCACCACATGGGCTGTTCATCAGAAAGCCAGATGGAGAGAAAATGAGGGAAGCGAATGAAGGCATCTCGTCTATCTCTCTCTCTCGGCACCTGGGATGTTAATCCTGGAGTTTATCCCTTGGTGTTGCAGCTGTTGCCCTTCCTTGGGGTGGTGAAGGGCACCTTCAGTACACAAACAAGCTCCTGGCCTGCACAGAGTGTATCTTGGCTTAACATCCGCACTGTCCATTGAAGCCTTGGGGCACCATGTGTGCCCCATAAAACGTGTATGCAACCCATTTTAATGGGTTGTCTCATGGACAGGTATCGTTCGAAGGAAGGAATGACATATATACGTAAGGTCAATGGCGCAATCAGGGCCAGAAGTCCAGGGTCTCCCATTCAGTAGACACAAGGAAGAAGGGGAGAGCAGGATTGGCTTAACACATTCAGCAACCTGGTACCTACCTCTTGATTTGGACTACAATTCCCATAAGCCCCAGCCACTGTCGCACCCAGGTCCCACTTGCTGGCATAGCTGTCAACTTTTACCTTTTCTTGCAAGGAATCGTATTCGGAATAAGTGAATTTCCCTTTAAAAAAGGGAAACATTGACAGCTATGCTTGCTGGTTTCCCACAGGTGTCTGGTTGGCCACTGTGAGGACATGTAGCTGGCTTATATAGCTGCTACCAGGGCTATTCTTGTCCTTCTTTGGGAGTTGTATTCTAAAACAAGTGAAGGGAGGAATTGCAAGGAAAGCTAATCAGAGAGCGAGAGAGAGAGAGAGAGAGAGAGAGAGAGAGAGAGAGAGAGAGCGTAGCTGTGGGGCGGGGCTCAGGGTAATCCCTCCCCTACCCCTGTTGAAACGTCACTCAAACCTACCTAAGCCATTGTTCCATATAGGGAGCTGATGAATTCTCCCCACGGGCCTTGAGGCGGCTTGCAGGGGCCATGGCAGGCAAGGTGCCGGCTTGGACTTTTGCTACGCAGCTTTTCAAAGGAACAAAGGGACCAGGGGCCGTTGTGGCTGGGGGTCCCCATTTCTCTATCCGGTGGCTGCGTTGTCATTTGCCGGGCCAACATTAAAGGGTTATACAGGAGCTGGCCGGCCTTGGCGCGGCTGGGTTGTACTGTGGCTCACCGACCACAGTGAAAACCTGGAGTGTTTCCTCTGAAAGAGGTCCGGCGGCGTGGCTTACTCCTAAGGAAGCGCGCGTTGACTGGGAAGGGGCGTCGTTCGAGGTTGCAATTACGCGGAGGCCTCTTTCCCCCAGGGGCGTGTCGCTTTGAAGGCTCCGGCGGGCGCGCGTTCCCAAGTGCTGCTTAACGCGCGTCGCGGCCAGCGTTCCATCGGGTCTCCCGCGCGGCCAGCCGGACAACGCGCTGCCCGCCATAGGCCGCTCTGCGCTTCGGAAGGCGGAGCATTGTGACGTCGGGGCTCGCGGGGCGGGGCGCCTGCCCGCGCTATAAAAGGCCGGGAAGGCGGTCGTCGTTTCGCAGAGCGAGCGTTCGGCGCAGCGGCGGCGGAGCTTAGGAGCGGGCTGGGAACTGGAGCGGGGTTTGTTTCGCCGGGGCAATCCTGCCGACGGGGCTATGGATTTATTGAGGACTATCGCTTACCAGCCGGGCAGTACAGCAGCCGGTAGCAGCAGCAGCGGCAAGATGGGCGAGCAGGCGCTGGGCAAGTCCTGCAATGGGGAATCGCGAAGGAAGAAAGCGGCGGAGTCGGCAGCCGAGCAGCACCACCACCACCACCCGCACTCGGCCACCGAGATCTCTCGGATTATTACCGACCCCACCACGGGAAGGCGATACTGCCGCGGCAAGGTGCTGGGAAAGGTAAATGCCCGGCGGCGGCGGCGGCGGCGGCAATGGCAGTTTTAGGGACCCGTCTCGTGGATCTGTCACTGGTGTGCAGAGCTGGTTGTAACGTTGGGGTGGGGTCGGTGGGGGCGCATAGATTCCCACCCAACATCGATTTATTTTGATTTTGTGTGGGGGTTTTTTGCCAGTGCGTTTTGGCATTTCTGGCACGCAGGCGCCCTCCCTAATCTGAGCCTCTCGGTCTGATCTGCCCCCCCCCCCATTCTGTACCTGGGGCAACCCAGCCAGATGGGTGGGGTATAAATAAAATAACAATTAATAATTTATAATTAATAGCATTCCCCTCCCTCCCGGTCCATCTATCGTGCCTTTTCATTTCCCTTCCTTTGCAAAATTCCAAATATCAAATATATTTGATATATTTGATCATCTTCTCAGAAAGAGGGCATTTTACATCCAGTGTTCCATTCATCTTGAGTCCTTATGTCCTGCTGGCTTGATTTGCAGCCCACTGTTTTTATCGTTTGTGTTTCATCACCTCTGCGGATCACTTATGGCACCTGTCGAAGTAGGCTGTTACCTGTGGAGGCTGGTGCATGCATAAGCTGCGAGCCTTAAAGGGCTGCTAAACAAAAGAGGAGAAGGCTCCACACGGATAGCTGCATGGAGAGGGAGGGCAGCTATCCTGTGTGATTAATGTACATGTCAGTCAGCTTTTCTTCTCCCAATTACATGCAGCAGAAAACTGTCGGTTGCTGTGCCTTTCATCTTGAGCGCTTATGGCAAAAACGGATAAATGTGTGTGCATTGGTCACAAAATAAGAATCTGTAGGAGAATTGCCTGCTTCACACATGAGGCGGTTGGGGAGGGTTTTGTCCTCTCGCTACAGTTTTAAGCGGCTAGTCCTCAAGCATTTTATAGTCATTTGTCTGTACCTTTGTTGCATATTTTTGACCGCTGGTTGAGAGAGCTTGCCTGGGGGGCTCTCTTTAGCATCCAAGGCTCTGCATTAATTTGATTAGCAAAGAGTGAGAATTGAGAGCACACTGCAGACTGTCCCTTGGCTGCAAACTGTCACTGGTTTTTTATTTTGCAGTCATGGTCCCTTGGTAGTTCTGATTTTTCCTGCTTGACTTGGGCTCCCTGAAGAGGGAGGCGGAGGGGAGTTTCTCAGCTGTCTCGTCTAATGTGCTTCTTCTGCTCCGCCTTGTCTCTTCAGGGCGGCTTTGCAAAATGCTACGAGATGACGGATCTGACCACAAACAAAGTCTATGCTGCAAAGATCATTCCTCACAGCCGAGTAGCCAAACCTCATCAAAGGGAAAAGGTGTGTATGTGTTGTGACGCTCCTTTCAGGAATCTCTTTATGTGCTTGGGTGGCCCTTCCCTTTCTCCCTCTGCAGTGGCTTGCTCGCCTGTAAGCCCTGCCTCTTCCCACGGCCGTGGCATGTGGATACTGAGGTGCCAGTAATAACCTGCTTCTCGTTTGTGTGTGCCCTTTTCTCCTCTTCCAGATTGATAAAGAGATCGAGTTGCACAAGATGCTCAACCACAGGCACATTGTGCAGTTCTACCACTACTTTGAGGACAAAGAGAACATTTACATTCTGTTGGAGTATTGCAGCCGAAGGGTGAGCATCCATGGGGAGAAATCCGGTATTCCCTTACATGGAATCGGCCGATAGTGTAAAAATGTTTAATGTGTAAAAGGTATTGTCCATAGTTTCTTGAGGCAGCCCTTAATTCCTTGCCTTTGACCCCCACCCCTCAGCTTTTTTCATAATGCTAATGCTTATCGTGTGGTTTCAGCTGAGTGACCTTGCCTGTGGGTTTTTCTCTTTTCTTCCTCTCACCAGTCTATGGCTCACATATTGAAAGCAAGGAAGGTGTTGACGGCACCAGAAGTGCGATACTACCTCAGGCAGATTGTGTCGGGATTAAAATACCTTCACGAACAGGAGATCTTACACAGAGACCTGAAGCTAGGTATGTTGATCTCCCAAGACACTGGGCTTATAAGATGTTGAAAGAGCAGTTTCCTTTCTCATAGACCGAACTGCTGTTTGAAAACTGCAATTCATGGGGATTAATGAATAGGATCAGCTTGTCTGGCAGTGGAGTCTTGGAGTGCTTGAGTAATAGCGCTAAGCATTCATTCATAAAAACAAAAGCACCAACTATGTGCTGGCCTTCTTTAGACGCGAGTCAGCACTTGTCTAACACGTCATGACATTGAATTGGACTCACCATGTTTCCTCTTCCTCTCTGCCTTGCGTCTGCAGGTAATTTTTTCATTAACGATTCTATGGACTTGAAAGTGGGTGACTTTGGGTTGGCAGCAAGGCTGGAACCGCTGGAGCACAGGAGAAGGTAAGGACCTGAGAAGGAAAGAGGGCAGCAACCTAAATACAGCAGAACAGCCTTGGGATTTGTAATCTCTAGTTATGTATAGCAGTGAGAGATGCTGGCTCTCATAATGCGTTTAAAGCATTGGCTTGCAAGCCAGGATATCTGACAGCTGATCAATGTTCTTAATGTCCTTTTTTGTAACAGTTTAGTGGGTCAGCTTCTTCTGCCTGTGAGCAACCCCCATTATTTTCAGGCCCATGCACATTTAGGTGGGAGTCTTATATAGCTAATGGTGAGTTATGGTGAGTTGGCACCATGGGACATAGGAAGCTTCCTTATACTGAATCAGACCACTGGTCTAAGTAATTCCCTGTTGTCTGCACTGGCTGGCAGCAGCTGTCCAGGGGTTCATGCAGGGGTTTCACACAGCCTCACCTGGAGATGCCAGGGATTAAACTTGGAGCCTTCTGTACGCAAGGCAGATACAGGCTGTTTGCATATAGCAAAGAATTAAGGTGGAACCTGTACAGTATTTAATAAAAACATATAGCTTTGGAGGCCAAACTAATGCTCTATTTAAAATGCACTGATTTGGGATTGGATTGCATTGGTTTCACTAAAGTGTATGACAAACGTTGAATTTTTGAGAGAGACTTAACTGTTGTTGAACTGATAGCTAATTGTTTTAACTCCTCATTCACAATTGTCTTTTTCAGAACCATCTGTGGCACACCAAATTACCTCTCCCCAGAAGTTCTGAACAAACAAGGGCATGGCTGTGAATCTGACATTTGGGCCTTGGGCTGTGTCATGTGAGTATTTAGCTGGTGTTTGGTCCTGTCTACAACTGTGTAACTAGTGGGTGGGTTTTGCCTTTCTTGAGGTCTTCAAGCAGACCTTCAGCACATCTCTTTGAGCAACTGCACTGAGCAGCAGGTTAGACTATGTAACCTACAAGGACCTTACCCAAGTTGCTCTCCTGTGACCTGTAACTATTCAGATTACGCAGAATTCTGGAGATTTGGCTTATTTTGCACAATAAGCTTTGTTTGTGCTAGTTGTATATGGGGGCAAAAAACAATGCAAGGTATTGTGAAGCCTCACCTTCAGACCTCATCCCCCCCTTTGAAATCACATTAAACACACTCTCCAGTAATCTCACCAGGAGATATTATTGCATGTGTGGGCAGTCTTAGACTGAGTCAAACCAGTCTAAGGTCCACCTTCAGCCTAGTGATGTCATTTCTATCTAGTTGGCAGGCTCCTCAAAGGCTTTGGTTGGGATGACTTCTGCATGCAGAGTCTTTAACAGTTCCACTCATGAGCTATGGGCCTTTCCAGCACCACTTCTCACTCCTTGCAGCCCCATGATATTGGGATGCTTAATCTGCATTGGTTACCAAACCCACACATCCTTGGGCCTTGCACAGACCTGTGGCATGTTCTTGATCTCAGTTCAGCCCCTTCTTACAAAACTTAGCTGACATAACCTTTTCCAGTACTAGTAATGGTCAGTGGTGGTGATGCTTTTGCTTAAAGACTACTTAAATTGAGGCCCTTCTTATAAACATTTTTTTTTAATTATTCTTGGCAATGATTCAAATAATGAATTGTATACTTCCTCTTCCAACAGGTATACAATGCTACTCGGAAGGCCTCCGTTTGAAACAACCAATCTGAAGGAAACTTACAGGTGTATAAGGGAAGCAAGATATTCCTTGCCATCGTCTTTGTTGCCTCCTGCAAAGCACTTGATTGCAAGCATGTTGTCGAAAAACCCGGAAGACCGCCCCAGCTTAGATGACATTGTTCAACACGACTTCTTCTTGCTGGTTTGTAGCATTCTTGTTCTTGGTTTGTTTCGCTTCTGTTCAGAGCTACAGCTGACAGCCAGCTGACAGCCCGTTTTTGTACATCTTGTTTCCTCAGGGCTTCACTCCAGAGAGGCTTCCAGCTAGTTGTTGTCATACAGTTCCTGACTTCAATTTGTCAAGCCCGGCTAAGAATTTCTTCAAGAAGGCAGCTGCAGCTCTCTTCGGGGGCAAGAAGGAAAAAGCAAGATATTTTGACACACACAGTAAGCAGATACATTCATACCTGGCTACTATCTATGCACTACAGTAGGCAGACATCAGGCTGGAACGATCAATTTCGTTTCTTACTAAGTCATCAGTGCAAAAGAACACATCTTTTTTGAGAGGGAAGTCCTTTTTGTTGTTGCTGTATCATTAAGTAATCCAGAATCCAAAAACTTGCTGATCTATCTTATGAATCACCCAGAGATCTACGAGTAGATCCCAATCCATTCTCTGCCCATCTGTAACAAATACTTACTGCTGATCTCTTGCCACCTCTAAAAGCTTCACATTTTGTGTATACACGCTGCTAAACTTTTTAATGCAGAGCTGCTAAAGCACCACTGTTGGTTTTTGAAGCCAGCCTGTTATTGGCTGCAGTTCCTGGTCTGCCAACTCTTTCTATAATATAAGATCCATGTTCAGCTCTGTGAGATCAGGCCCATACAAAGGAAGCAACACTCTAGGAAGAGACTGCATGTCTTGTCAAGGCAGGAAGTATTGTGTACTAGACAGTCATGTGCACTTGGATAGGAAAACCCCCTCTAAATTTTCTGTGGCTTTCTTCTCCCTTCCAGATCGGCTTGCTAAAGAAGATGAAGAAATATACAAGCTTAGACATGACTTGAAAAAGACCTCAATAACCCAGCAACCCCTGAAACACAGACCAGAGGAGGTATGTATTTCGGTTGGTTGGGCTTTTTTTTGTAACAGGGTAGCCTGTATTGCTGAACACAAGTAAAAACGAGCGGCTAGCGAAATCCTTGAGAGCTCAGGAAGCTTAGGCGTAATCTTGTGACATGGCTGTCATAGCCTTTGACATCTGTGCAGGGTCTCTATGACTCCAGGACTCATTAGTGCAAATCATCCAGCATCTGTGTGTCTCCATACTGCATAATCCTGAGATGCTGTCAGCTGCCTCTCCTCTTCCTTAGGAAGACTCTTAGCTCAGGATAAGCCAGCAGTTCTGAAACTTCAGTTTCATTTACAATCTCCAGCATGTTTGGGAGCTGAAGCAGGCCTGGCGTGTGTGCAGACACAGGCAGAGTGCTGAGACGTAACCAAATAAAAATGCAGAACAAACAGCATGAGAAGCTCTTCCAAGCCTTGTTAAGAAAACATCTTTCCAGTGTTCTGTTCCATTGTTCAAGAAATGGAACCCAGTTTGCAACCAAGAAGAATTTTGATTTTTGGTCGTTCAAGTTGCCAAAAGGACAGAACAAGTTTGAAATCTTCCCCAGTGGTTTATCACAGCCTCTTCCTAGATACATAAGTGAAGGGAAATCAAAGCTTGCTATCATGGGGGAAATGAATTCAGGTCCTACCTGCCTTCCACCTCCTGATGCTAGGTGACCTTGCCTTCCCTGAAAGGGAACTCGAAGGCAGTTTGTGTGGCATGTACAGTACACACTGCATCATTGTGGGCAATAACAAAAGCCCTTTGCATGTATCCTGTTCATCACAGTGATAAGCACCTTGCTAGTGAGGCCTAGCTACCAGGGTACCTGCAAAACGGAATCTGAAACATGATCATGAATTGCGCAAGAATCTGTCCTTGATGGTCCTTAGCAACAACATGGTATTTTCTGCCTTTTCAGGAGATCCAGCCTCCCAGCACCACTGTAGCCAAACCTGGCATGCTAGCAGAAACCAAACAAATCGGAGATGCTATCCGGATGATAGTTCGGGGGACGTTGGGAAGCTGTAGCAGCAGCAGCGAATGTAAGTATGATGCACATGGCGTTAAGTAGACGGTTCTGTGTTTAGTCTGTACTTCAAGCAAGAATGTAAGATTTAAGGCCTGGAAAGAAACATTCTTCCTCCCATGTCAAACTGGCCAAGCAAATAATCTAGAGTAAAAACCTACAAATTTGGTTGGCGAGTCTGTGGGACTGTCATGTCTTCCCTCCCCACAAAGAACTGCAAGAATTGATGGGAGTGCAGATAAATCCCCAAGCCCTTTTAAAACCTAGTTTTTACAGCTTCTCTTTCTGTTGGGAACTCTGAGAACATCATTCTGTACATTCTGTAGCAGAAATTGCCAAACCGCCTTTTAGGGTCATAATCTGAGATGATAGGTCAATGAATAATGTACAGGAGGTAGGCTCATTGACATCTCTGCATGTGGTTTCTGTAACGTTCCCTCCTCTTTGCCCTCACCCAGGCCTTGAAGATAGTACTATGGGAAGCGTGGCTGACACTGTGGCTAGAGTGTTGCGCGGCTGTCTGGAGAACATGCCAGAATCTGACCACATTCCCAAAGAACAGCTGGCTGCGTCTTTCCAGTGGGTCACGAAATGGGTGGACTACTCAAATAAATACGGCTTCGGTTACCAGCTGTCGGATCACACAGTGGGCGTTCTCTTCAACAATGGTGCTCACATGAGTCTTCTTCCAGACAAAAAGTAAGTGGCTGGCCCAATGTACAACAAAGTTGTCACATGACGCTTTCCTCTTCTGTGTCTACTTGAACTTAATATTCTTCTTCTTCTTACCTTCAGAACAGTCCATTACTATGCAGAGCTTGGTCAGTGCTCCGTGTTTTCTGCTCCTGATGCCCCTGAACAGTTCATCAGTCAAGTAACTGTTTTGAAGTACTTCTCTCACTACATGGAGGAGAATCTCATGGATGTAAGTGATGTGGATGAAAAGGCTTGCAATCCTTTGCTTGTTAAAAGCCTGTGTGTTGATGAACTCTGCTCTAACCAAGACTGTGTGTTCTCCTTTTCAGGGAGGAGATCTGCCCAGTATAACAGATGTCCGTAGGCCCAGACTTTACCTCTTACAGTGGTTGAAATCTGACAAGGCATTGATGATGCTCTTCAATGATGGCACCTTCCAGGTAGAGTTTCTTCTCTTTCTTCTCCCTCCGCCCACCCACACATGCAGCTTGCTCAAAACATGTAGGGGCTTGTTATCTGGAATCAGTGGGGATTAGATCTTAAGATGGCGAGTGTACTATTTTTACAGTGTGTTATCAACTTGATGACAATAGTAACTTATCATAAATAGTGTTAATAAGCTATTCAGCTGACTCCATGAAAGATGAGGAGCCCAATGGCTTGAAGGGCCAAACGTGCTACTTTCACAAATCCCAAGGCCAAAAGTGAAGTGTACACAGATGCAAAATGGGCTTTCTACAAGTTACATGATATTGTGTCATCTGTAATACTTGGTTTATTCTATTATGCGGAGGGGGGCCTGTTGGGTTTGGAGCAACAAGACATCATAGGCACACTATGACAGGCATAGGCAAACTTTTGGGACTATAACTCCCATCATCCCTGACCACTGGTCCTGTTAGCTAGGGATGATGGGAGTTGTAGTCCCAAAACATCTGGAGGGCCAAGTTTGCCTATGCCTGCACTAGGATCCAGTGAGAGGTTGGTGAACCTGTGGGCTTCCAGATGTGGTTAGACTACAGCAGCAATCCTTTACTATGACCATCTTAGCTGGGGCTGATGGGCATTTTAGTCAAACACACCTGCATGGCCACAGGTTAACAGTCTGTGGTTTAACAGAGATCTTCCAATACCAGAACCTTCTGTCTTCCTCTGCTCTCAAGCTACCTGAGGTGATTTTAGTTCTCAAATTCTGGACACAAGCCTCTACCAACTAAAGATGAACAATACCTTTATTCCTTAAGGGGTGTTTTTGGATACATAACAGCTTCATCCTTTAAATGTGTTATGCAGAAGTAAATTCTGCTTCAAGGAGACTTGCTTCCAAAATTGCGTTGCCATTTCATAAAGTAAGGCTTGCAATCTTTGTCTTCAAGCAGGTGGTCTTGATTGATTAAGACCCTATTGAGCTTAGTCAGAGATGCTTTGTCTTTTAGGCATTTAATATTCTGCAGCACATGAGCAAAGGCTTTTTTATGCTTGTAATCTAAGCTGTAAAGGAAGGCTCTGTCCACAAAATACTTGCAGAGCACTGCCAAAAACTGAAAGCAGTGCCATGAATGTGCATTGAGAGGTTGGAACAATTGCATTAAACAGCACCTCTTAATTCCTTGGCAGGTGAACTTCTACCATGACCACACAAAAATCATCATATGCAACCAAAATGAGGAATATTTGCTTACTTATATCAATGAAGATAGGCTATCGACAACGTTTCGCTTGACGACCCTTCTGATGTCTGGGTGTTCCCTGGATCTAAAGCAGCGAATGGAATATGCGTTGAATATGCTGTTGCAAAGATGCAATTAAATTAAAAAGAACTCTTCTAAAACCAAAAGGACTTCTCTCACTGAAGTCTACAGTGGAGGCAGTTGGAAAAAGCTAGTATGTTGATGGATGAGTGAGGAGTAGGGACTGGTACGAACAAATATCTTATGTGCTGGGCTGGTACCAGACATGGAGCCTACTGCAGCCGTCTTTGGTGGATTAATGGTGTGACAAGGAATTCTTTTGGAGTGTAGCTTTCCTTGGTTCACTCCCTTTTGAAAGATATGAGTTGGACTTGAAGCTCTGCAGAGAACAGTTCTGATGGAGGACTTTAAAACTGTGAATAACACTTGAGGAATTGGGAGGGAGGGCGATCTCATTGTTGTCGAATAACTATTTGGGGCAGCTTGTGGCTGCTTAACTGTGAACTATGGCCATACATTTTTTCTTATTTCTTCCAAGAACTGATCACACTTGTGGCTGGCAAAGTGCATTCCTTGTTAATATTTTTTTTTATTTATTACAGCCTAAAGTGAAGTATTTATTACATACATTTTTTTGCAACCGTGATTTTAAATATACATTTGTTGGCAATAAAGAGTGGGAAAAACCTGAAGCACTGGTTTCAGTATATGCCTTTTTTCCCTCTGAGCTCTGCATTCTAACCGGTAAAAGTAACATGCAGGATAGAAGCGGTTCAAGGTCAATTGATTTCTCATTCTGATGAGGTGGAATGGGCCTCCATCAGCGTTTATAGTGGTTTATTTTCTACCTGCAGGAGCCTGCAATCTGCTTGGATAACAGCCCAGCTTTTGCACAATTTATACATACCATGGTGGATGTGGCTCGTAGATTAGCCTGACGCTTTTAAAAACTGCTGCTGTTCACCACAGACCATGGCTGCAATCCTAATACTTGGCTACATGGAAGTGGGTCTATTGTACTCAGTAGGGTCAATTTCTGAGTAGATAATAGGATTGCATTGAATATTTAAAAGTCTGCCTTAGGGTTACCCTCAGAGTTTAAATTGGCTTTTTTAAATATACAAGGTCCTCTAAATTTTCTTATGATATCCAAGTCTACCTTGGTCTCTGCAGCATAAAAACCTCTCTTCTTCCTACTACTTTGGCTTGAAGGAGAATCTCTTGCTTGTAAACTCTTGCAGACATCTGACCATTGTACTCAAGCAAGTGTGGTTCTCCCATCAGCCTTCCAGCAAAGCACAGGGTGTTGGGTGTTTTGCAATGGTTCTATTCAGCCTTTTTATTGGGGGGGGGGGACTGATGTCAGCTGATCTCTAGGTGAACTTCGATCAGCATGAAAATTAGCCATGTGGCAAAACCTTGAATTCACCTTGCTTCCTGAAAATGCCAAGATGGCGAACGGAGGGTTTAGCCAGACTTCTGCCGGAAGGAAGGCTACTCAGTTTTAGTAGTCTTTGAAGCAGGCACATCAAAAGTGGCGACACTTGGATTCTGTTTGTATATATTCATGATAAGCACTGTTGGAACTACTCTAAAACCCCACTCCTTTTGTATACTTCCAATAGCTATGAATCGGTACTTTGCGGTGGGGGGAGTGTAACTTTATAAAATCTGTGTTTTGTGGAATCTGCATTCTGTGAATGCTGATGGAGAAACTGAAGGCACAATGTTCGTTGCTTACCTAGATTCACAAAGTCGTGACACACAAGAGATGGAGACATATCATGTTTCTCAAAGGGGCCTTTCAACTGCCTAACAGGATGCAACCAAAATTAGGTCACTGGATTAACCTTAATTGGGGTGTGTGCACCTCAAACGTTCTACTCCCCAGGGGCTACTTGAGAAGGCTGGAAGTTACAAAGCCCACCAGTCACAAAATGACAGCAAATGGAGATGGTTTGACATAAATGGCTGGCAACAGAATCTAATCCCTCTTGGAAATGGCTAAATTCTTTCTCAGTGATTTTCTTATGTCAGGGAGTTCCACAGTTAACTTGAAGAAAACGTTATGGATATCAGAGTATCATAAGTCTATTTTAGGTAGAATCTGCTGGAAGCTCACAAGTGCGGATAGCTTTTTATTTGCAATCTTCCCCATGTGCCTCAGCATTCTTATTCCATTGCTTCCCATTTTCCTTTCCTCTATTCTATTTTTCATCCCAGCTCTTTCTATATACATTTGCTTCTTCTGTAAAAGCACCACTCTTTTTCTCACCTTCCTCTCTATTCCAGTTTATTAGTCGTGGCAGTAAAGTACCAACCACTGGCTCTTCCCCTCAAGCGGAAGACTCTAATAAATGTCTCCATCTCCCAGCCACCTTTCCTAAGCTCCACTTTCTCTCCTCTGCCCCCCCCCAACAGGTGTATATATGTGCAAACAATCACATAGTCTGCCTAATTTCTGTATGAAGGAATCCCATTCCAAACAGGACCTCAGTGGGGGCACTGCAAAAACAAAGACTCTTACTTCATCCCACAGTCCTCATTTGGCTCCTGTGTTTGCTATTTATTTTTGTGGGGGTGAGGGGGAATCAGGCTATTAAAGAACAAGCTCCATGACAAGAAACATTGCATCTAGTTGGGCCCTACAAGGGCTCCAAAGTCCATCTGGTTGAGCAAGCTTGGAATAAAAGGATCTTGCGCTCTTCCTGGCTGTGCCAGGGCTGCACAAAAATGGCTCCCTCAAAGCCTGCAGGTGGAAATTCTGCCTCTCCATCCCCAAAGTGGCCATCATTCCTATGCTCCTCTAAGGCATCAAGATCGGCCCGTGATAATGTGTCAACAGAAGAGGGGAAGGATTGGGGAAGGGATTAATGGTGTGGGTGCCTTGAAGTCAAATTAGATAGGTTGGTTTACTCTTTAAGTCTGCAAAGAAGCTTTATTTGGGACCTGAGGGTGGGAGGGTTAGGACCTTGGGCATTCTCTCCCTCAGTGTGGTGTAGTGGTTAAGAGCAGTAGTCTCGTAATCTGGTGAACCGGGTTCGCGTCTCTGCTCCCCCACATGCAGCTGCTGGGTGACCTTGGGCCAGTCACACTTCTCTGAAGTCTTTCAGCCCCACTCACCTCACAGAGTGCTTGTTGTGGGGGAGGAAGGGAAAGGAGAATGTTAGCCGCTTTGAGACTCCTTCGGGTAGTGATAAAGCGGGATATCAAATCCAAACTCCTCCCTCATCCTATTGCTGCCATGCTGGCATAGTGTTGCCCTTTGCCAACAGAATCTGACAACTGTCATTCTTTGGGCTCCTCCAGGCGCCCCAATTATTCGGCATTTGTCCTGATTTTCTTGCCCAAAGCTTACTTTGTGTCCAGTCGAGCATTCGTTCTGATTTGTTTATGAGGCACTTATATGACAATGAGCATTCATCCTGATTTGCTTGCAGGGTGTTTGCACATCTGCCTGTTAATTAATTACTCATTCATCTAACACTTTTGAAGGCATTTTCCCATCAGTTTTCAAACCACAATGTGTTTTTAAAAAATAAAAATTGTGGATTTGTTGCTTCAGGATGACAGAACTCGTCAATCCACTTTGAATGCACAAACCTAATGTTCCGGTCTGCACTTGCATCCCTCCTGCCAACTATTGCCAGTTTGGAGGCACCCTTTTTGCCTCTTATACTAGGGAAGCTGCTACACCCTGCAAATTTTGTTGTGTCATGGTGACCCAGCTCATTCTACACTGGCAAGGATATATGCAGAGGAGCGAGATGGCAAAGGCTATTTTTAACAGCTTGTTTTAATGAGGTAAGGCAAACATAGTTCTCCAAGGGCTCAATCCGACTTCCTTTTGTGTTGGGTTGCCCAAAGTTGTTCAGCTTTCCCCCCCCCTTTTTTTGCAAAGTTTTGAATGAAAAGTTTTCCAACTATTTTTAAGGAATAGACTTCCAGCACAGGTTGCCATACATCAGTCATACATGTTTTTGCCCTCATATTTCCCTCAAAGTATGGATGAGCCCTTAGTCTGGAAAAAAAATAGAGCTTTAAGACCTGTGCAGAAAAGAACACACAGTACAGGGTCAGATTCAACTAATGAGTCCCATTAGCAAAAGCCAAAGCAAAATCCAGCAACCTCAGGTAGCACAATGGGTCTGCCTCCCCCCCCGAAACCCATGCCCCCCAAATTGGCTTGGAGGGTTGGGAGAAACCCCAGAATAGTGCATTGTGGGAGGAGAGGGGAGTTTATATGGCAGTGCTTGCATTGATGGAACAATCTCCTTAACACAACACTTAGCACAAGGGTTTTCTTGTTTGTGTGTTTCTTTGTGGCTGATTAGCTGTTCTCCCTGTGCAAAGGTCAGAGGGGGCAGGGTTTCTGTTGAGGCAGGTGATTAGCTGTGGGAGGAGCTTATCAGAGCTTGTAGGGCAGCGGCGCGCGCAGTTTGATCCATCTTTTAGATTTAGGGGAGCTAGTCTCAAACGTTTGTTGGGGGAGACCTAGGGTTTTTTTTGGGGGGGAAGTTACTTGTCCTGTCTTCACGCTTTTTATGATGGAGGACCGCTGTAGCCACCCCCAACGACACGTTCTCAGGATGAAGGGGGAGGGAACAGCTGCAGTCGCCTGCGGTTCCTGCGCAATGTTTGCCATCTTGCCAAAGGTTGCAGGCAGCTTTACCTGCAGCAATTGCATGTTGATTGCCCTCTTAGAAGACAAAGTCCAGCAACTGGAGGAACGTGTAGCTACGCTCCAAAGAATTAGAGAGCTGGAGCTCTTCTTGGAAGCAACAGAGCACACCGTCTCCACCAAGGAGGAGACAGGGGACTCCCCTGAGAAGGAGGCTAGTTCACCAACACAGGAGCCAGATATATGGAGAAACGTGACTCAAAGAAGTAGGAGGCCCAGGGTTCGCTCTGATTGTTTAGAAATACACAATCGCTTTGAGGTCCTCTCCCCTAGCATGGAAGACGAAGAGCAGACTCCATTTGAGGATCTCTCCCTCATTACAGTCGATCAGGTATATGAAGACGAGCAGCAAAGTCAGTCCTCAGGGAATGTGCAGGCAACCTTGGAACGGACAGCTCACGGAAGAACTCCGACCAAACCTAAGAAGAGGCGTGTAGTGGTGATAGGGGATTCCCTACTGAGGGGAACAGAAGCAGTGATCTGTGGGCCTGACAAGATGTCTCGGGAAGTGTGCTGTCTCCCCGGGGCTAAGATCCAAGATGTAACTGAACGACTGCAAGGAATCATAAAACCCACTGACAAATACCCCTTCCTCTTGGTTCATGTGGGAACCAATGACACTGCAAGCAGTAGCCTCCAGAAGATCAAAAGAGACTACAAGGCTCTGGGCAGGAAATTGAAGCAATTAAATGCACAAATTGTCATCTCATCTGTCCTCCCAGTTGAACGACGTGGCCCAGGGAGAGAGGGAAAAATAGTGGAAGTGAACAGCTGGCTTCGCAAATGGTGTAAACAGGAACGGTTTGGATTCTTAGATCACAGACTGCAGTTTCTTGAAGATGGACTTCTGGCAAGCGATGGGCTGCACCTCACAACGGTTGGGAGGAATGTTTTTGCCAAAAATCTCAGAAACCTCATCAGGAGGGCTTTAAACTGACTAATGTGGGGGAGGGAGACAGTGCCCCTGAAGGTAGGAGTCTATCAATTGATGAAGATGATCATCCAAATG